GAACCAAGCCGGTCTAGTTTTTTTCTCGCACGTGAACCGACCCCCTCCCGCTCCTTCGCCCAGATCGAGACCAACCGTGCAACAACCACCATTTCGTGCCTTGTTCCCCTCTATAATCAAGTAAATCACGCAATTTCTCCACCTTTTGAAACATTCAAGTCCTTGCCGCCTTCCTTTTGTATTTTAAGGTGAAGAAGGGAACTTATGGCATCATTCTAAACCATCCATTGGCTCTCTCGTAGCCGCCAAAAGCACTCCGCTCTCTCGCAACCACCAAACCTAAAATCAGCAGGCATCTTCTTCTTCCCCTTCAATGTTTGAATATATAATTGGACTTCAATTAAAATAAGGAAATGGCAAACATGTTAGTTTGAGAAACAAGCATACATACAGGGGTGTATTTGAAAACATTGGAATGATTTGACATCAATAGTTATATGTCATATATATGAGCATTATTAGAGTTAAACAGATAATATAGTTTATATTTTGTACAAAGCTGAGGTGTATGTATTTGATTGGTTATTTCCATGTATTCATCTAATTGGCTCTGCTCAAAAGCTGTAACGTCTAATGCCTATAAATATAGGCCTGTACTTCATCTGTAGACAAGATTAATAATATTCATTCTTTACTTCGTCTTCTTCTTACTCCTGTTCCGTCATTCGTTCTTCCTGTTGCATTTCTACAAGCATATTAAAATTTGTTGTATGAAATATGACATATTCATGGTTATTTTGATATAAGGACTATAGGTCATATATTACTCCCATCTTTTGATTGTTCATAATGCATGCCCCATTACTTTGTCATTTATGCTTTGATAGATAGTAGTTACTTATTAAGTTTTGATAGATAGTAGTTACTTGCTAAGTTTGATTTGTCAAACTCACCCATTGTCTTTTTTAGCAGGTCCTGCAGGCATGTTTGGTGGACTGTTACCTTCGGAGCAAGTTATCAGCAACAATTTGTTTCTTTTTGGTATTTCATATTTTGTAATAGTTTATTTTGCTTTTGATTGAGGGTTAGACAATCATTTTTTTTCCTTCTATTCTTTTTTTGGCTTGTATTTGAAATATTATTGTTTGCTTTTTATTAATGAATTGACTTTTTAATTCACTTTCCTTATTTACTCTAGTATATATATATATATATATATATATATATAACTTCTAACGCAACTTATACACTATATGCATGACGATTTTTTATGTTTGGTGGTATGCATGAGTTCCTATGCAAGACATATGATGTACATTTGATACTATCTTATTTACATAAGGTTGGATGCAACACTAAATATATTTCTTTTGATAAGGGGCTCCTTGGTTTGCTGAAAAAAGAAATGCAAAGTTTTCTACATGTTGGCCGGGGATTTTAAATTTTGAGTTTTTAGTTTGATTAAAAAGTAATACAATATAAAATTTTAATGAATTCGTTTTTAACTCTTTTATTCATTTTGGATGTATTTTAAACTTGTATGCCGAATATTTTTTCATAACAAGCTAACTGCATTATTGCTACATGTTGCCGACCATCGCAATCACTGTTGTTATCGCATCAGGCACAATAGCTAGCTATTGCCACAGGCCGCCTTAATTGCCACCACCACCAATGCTGCCCAATTGTCATTGTCACCTAATACCATTGTCTACCATACTCATTTGACTTTACATTGCATTAATTTTACTTCAAACAATAAAAAAAAAAACTTTAATTCCTTTTTATCCATCAAAATAACTTCAAACATTTCAAATACATTATTTCTTATACGTTGTATTCATTTTTAGCGTCCTAATTAGCCCCTCAACAATAGTAAATTCATGTGCATCAATAACATTTATAAAGCTCAACCTGTCGATGAAAAATAAAAAATATATATTAAATATCAATTAGTTAAACTATTATACTTCATCTTATATTTAGTTGTTTATTTGTTAATGAATTTTTTTTAAAAACTGTCAATATCGATTCCAAGCCGGGATGAAAAAAGTTGAGGGGATTGTTAAAAAAAAAGACACCCTTTTATGAAAATTTTATGTCTCTGCCATTGTTTTGAGCCACCTACTTAATGATTTATTACACACCATTTGTTTAAAAAATTAATAATATTGTACTTTAAGGTTGTAAAACAAATTATACATTATATGCATGATGATTTTTTATATTTGGTGGTATTTATGAGTTCCTATGCAAGACATATGATATACATTTGATACTATCTTATTTACATAAGGTTGGATGCAACTATAAATACATATCTTTTGATAAGGGGTTGTTTGATTTGCTGAAAAAAGGAATGCAAAGTATTTAACATGCTAGGGATTTTAAATTTTGAGTTTTTTACTTTGATTAAAAAGAAATACAATATAAATTTTTAATTAATTCATTTTTAACTCCTTTGTTCATTTTTTGATGTGTTCAAACTCGTCTAATGTTAGTCGAATATTTATTCACAACAAGGGTAACAACATCATCGCTATATGTTGCCGACCATCGGCACCACTGCTACTGTCAGCATCAGGCACAATTGGTAGCTATCGCCACGGGCAACCTTAATTGGCACCACCATCAATGTTGTCTAATTGTCACTGCCACCTAATACCGCTTGCTACCATAATCATTTGACTTTACATTGCATTCATTTTACTTCAAGAAAAAAAAAATAATAAAAAACCCCACTTGTATTCCTTTTTTATCCATTAAAACAATTTCTAATACACTCTTTCTTTTATGTTGTATTCATTTTTCAATATCCTAATTAGGAGAAACTATTAGGTGGAGAGTCTGGATGTAGCTTTGTTTTTGGACTCCCATAAAATCGCGACACATGTTCAGTATTCTTTTCTATTTTTTATTTAATTTTTTTTTGTCATCCCAACTGACCTGATCCATAATAAATCATGTTCGTATTTTTGGGCTGAGCATTGGCGCTCTTTTTTTAAATGAAATGCCGCGAGAAAATCATATTTTTTAGGATTTTAGCTCAAAAAATATTTCATAGCTGATGAGAAAGAAAAGTGAGAGAAAACCGATGAAGTTGATGACTGGTCTGGAGGAGGTCAAGGCGATGAAGATGAAGATTTGTTTGGAGGAGGAGAAGCCGATGAAGATGAAGACTAGTCTGGATAAGGAAAAGCCGATGAAATGAATGTTGATTATGAGGAGGAGAAGCCGATGAAGTTGAAGACTGGTTTGAAGGAAAAGTCAATGAAAAAACAAGGAATAATATATATTTTTTTAAATAATTAGAGAATATGTAATTTTGAAGAATAAATTGTATATATATTGATAATTATTTTCTATACACTTATGGGGAAGATGAATATACTTTATTTTATTGATGTTTTTTTTCCTATTGCAGATGCTATGTACCACTGTGTACCTATTATATTGGTTTTTGATATTGAAATTTTGGCTTGCATCCCTTAACGATATTCAATGTTTATAACGACGAACTCTCAATACTAATGCTCAATACAGCTCGGTACCACTCGATACTAGTCAGTATCACTCAGTACCAATGCTCGATATCACTCGGTGCCAATACTCAGTATCGTCCGATATTGCTCGGTACTAATCGGTACCTCTCAATAAGTGATACTAAATAACTATTGTATTTATTAATCAAATTTATTACATTTGAATCAATATGACTGATACACAACAATACTAGATATAATTTTTCTCTTAATGATATCCAATGTTAATACCAATGAACTGTCAGTACCAATACTCGGTACCCTCGGTACCAATGTTTGGTACTGGTCGGTACATCTCAATAAGTAATACTAAATAACTATGTATTTCTTAATCAGATTTCTTTCATATGAATAAATACGAATAGTACATCGTGGTATTGAACATAATTATTCCCTTAAGAAGATTTAATGTTAATACCAATGAACTCTTAGTACCAATGCTTGGTACCGCTCGGTATCACTCGGTATCTCTCAATAATCAACACTCTTAGTACCAATGTTTGGTATCGCTCGGTACTGGTTGGTACCTCCCCGCAATGCTTGGTACCGATGCTAGGTACTGAGGGGTACCGAATGGTATCGAGCGGCATCAAGAATCTAGGATATATAAACAAGCTGAGAAAGCTTTAAAGTTTATGCAATACATAATTGTGAAAAAGATGAGAAAGCTTTAGAATGAACAAAAATATCACTGAGTAAAAACGACTGCGCTTTTACTACTACAAATCATGGTGTACAAATGACTTACAAACTTTGAAGACAAACAAAATTACTCTTACAACGAACCTCGCTAGTGGGCGTTGCCCCCTCGGAACCCCCAACATATTCCCTAAATATACAGAAAAAACTACCCTTCATTCAACTTATGCTATTCCTCTTCCTCTTCATGGATGTTAGCATAGCATCATCTTCATCGGCTTTTCCTTCTCCAAACCAGTCGTTATCTTCATCGGCTTTTTCTTCATTTTTTTCTTTCTCATCAGCTATGAAAATGTATTTTGAGCTGAAATCCTAAAAATTATGGAAGTTTCGCGGTATATAATAATAAAAAAAAAACACCAATTCAAAATCCTAAATTCAAACATGAATATTTTGGGCTGGGTTGGTCGGGCTTGCAAGAAAAGAACAAAAAATAAAATAGAAATTAATATCCGCATGTACATGCCAAATGTCACGATTTTATTGGACTCCAGACGCAGAGCAACGTCCGGACTTCTCAACTAATAATTTCCCCCTAATTAGCCCCTCAACAATAATAAATTTCTGTGCAACAATAACACTCATAAAGCTCAACTTGTCAAAAAGAAAAAAAAAATCTATATTGAATATCAATGCTTTAAACTATTGTTTTCCTCAACTTATAATTTTTATATTTAATATATATATATATATATATATATTATTCCAATGTATTTAAAGAGAGAAGATTTTTACTAGAAGGTTTGGGTTATATTATATATTCCAATGTATTTATAGAAAGAAGATTTTTACTAGAAGGTTTGGGTTATACGTGTTGCGCATGAAGGTATTCTTAAAAATGTATTCACCACCGAAGTAACTAGAGCCGGCACGAGTTGCTTGTGAAAGTCTGCTTCGCCGAGGACATAGAGTTGTTTCCCATTGCAGATCCAGCCTCGGCGTCGGCGAGCCAAGATGTACATGGCCTACGGATGGCCGCAGGTCATAGCGGTCAGTAACGGCGTACGCTCCTCCGACGCCGGTGGCATAGTCGACGATAGAATCATATATCTAAAGATCATCAACCGCCTTCTTCTCCTTGTCACGCCCACTCATCTTCAGTTATGGAGCTGCTCACAGGTTAGTTTACTATTTAAATTTTAACCCTAATCCCTTCTTCCGCTTCCTCATCTTTGATCGAGATATCTATTTAGCTAGTTGTCTCTATTGAAACAGCACAAGGTGAGAATTGGGAAGTACGTGAGAGACGGCGATTCGGTTCAGCGGGAAGGAGAAAATTTGCAGGCCATTTGGAGCCCCGATACCAAAACCATCGCCGTACTAGTAAGTGTGAAGAAGAGAGGCATCGTCTCTGCTTTGTCTTACCCCCTTTCTCCTCTCTTTCGTTTAGGTCCCATGTTTGCTCCAATGAGACTCGACTGTTGGCCTTTCACACTTTGCCTGCATATTCATGATTACTAATTGTATATACAATCTTCTGTCAATTTTAAATTTTAAGCTAGAAAGAAACGGCAACTCACTATGATCAAGTAGTTCTCTTTACTGGTAGACCCTTTCGGATAAATTTGAAATATTAGAACGGAGAATTCTTAACAACGCTTAATTTCATCAGTTGCCCGACTATGTTTCTTGACGTTTGCTGGCATTTTTTACAACATTGGCATTATCATGTTTACACGGTTGGTTTTTGAGAAAATATTGTGTGCAATCAGCTTGGAAGAATCCAAATAAGATGATGGTGTTTTGTTCATCTTTTTGAATATTTGTTAATGGCGACAACTCCTCTAATAACTCCTCTTATAATGCTATTTCTTACTTTATCTCTTTGTTTGCTTCTTGCATTTCTAATTTATGAAACTCAAGTAAAAGAGTTAGGTTGAAAAAAAAAAATAAAGGCACTATTTGGGATTTCTTTGTTCAACAAAACAATGCATGTTGGATTGACTACATGCAGAGACCTAAAAAGATGAAGGGGACAAAATGGACACTTGAAGAAATTTAGCCCATCCTTTTAGTTAATGACGATAAAAAAATTGCTAAATGTAGTTTATCATGAACAAATGAGCTTAATATTATTTTTTTCCTATTTTAGATTGCCACAATTATTAATCAAATCCGAATTTGCTTGTTATTAAATGAAATCAAATTTGAGGGCATTAATCTAACATTGCAGGAAATAATTTGAGGTCACTCATTGTGTAATTTATTGTAAGCCAGGTGACGAGGGCATCAACCGTCGATTCCAACGCGTTTATCACATGAGACATTGCAAATCAACGACCACGATTAGAAGCATATACTTATGAGTTCTTTTTTTACTGTATTAGTTTATTTCTATTATTTTGTTTCAGTTGGCCTTTATACCCCTACGAGGGAGTTTAGTGAGTTGTAGCCCAAAGGGCATATGTGATGTGGGCAAAAAATATAGGGGTGCCTATACCCTTCGCCCACAAGCAGCAACGACAAAAAGACTACTGAACTCGGACTGAGACTGGACTTCTACCGACGAAAATGACTAAAGACGAGAAAAAGGAAGAACAAACTCTTACATTTCAAATAAGATGTAAAATCTAGAAATCAAAAGACTTACAACAATGACTCTTGCAAAATTTATCCGACTTACAAACTTGACTCAATCACTTGGCGACACCCTAAAGTTTCTTCACTTAGAGAAGAAGGATATAGGTGGAGTGACACTTGCGGAGAGACAAAAGAGGTTAGAAGCTAAGAAGAAGGGTGGAAAGAGCCCGCAGGATTTCCGGAGGGGATGAGAAAGAAGGGTGGAAAGAGCCCGCAGGATTTCCGAAGCAAACCCGCAGGTTATAACTTTTCCAAAAATAACATATCATTCAACTATTTTTAAAACATTACAAATCCTCCCATATTTATAGGTATGAAAGAGGAATACCAAGAGACACCTAATAAATTCCCATAGGAATTTTAAACATCACATTGCATTAAAATACCTAAAAAACATCCCAAGCCAAGGAACCGAAGAGGCATCCACGGGAACCAAGGAGACCACCCGGAATCAAGGGGCACGGTCACGGGAAAGAGCCCAGGCACGGGAAAACCAACAGCCGGCCGGAATCCAAGGGGGCAAATGCACAAAAAGCCATGGTGGAATTCAAGGAGCCACACATGGGAAAATAAAACATAAATCTTGAGATTCCAAAAGCCCTTTTGGAACCCAAGAGACACCATAACTTAAAACATTAAAAACTATAATTAAAGTGCATTAAATAAAAGATAAATATGAGCTAAACTTAGCTAGTAATGAGCTAACCCTTAGTTCAATAAGTGAACTAAAGACCAGCTCATAAATGAGCTAAAGTTTCAGCTCAATTTTGATTGAGCTAGTAGACTCAAGGGAAGCCAAAAATCTAATTATTTTTGACATGAGTTGACCCTCCCTTTGTCTACATCAATATGAGTCTTTGTTTCTTTTTTTATTATCGAGGCCTATATATAGTGGCATGAGTCTTTGTATTAGTTTTTTAATGAATGTTTGAATGAATATTTGATTTTGTTTTCTTCTTCTTTTTGAGTGTGCTCAAGAGAGAAGAGAAAGCCCGAGGTGCGGGATAACGCAATACCCACCAGTAATCGGAGGAGTCCATGGATCGTGGCCTTTATCATTTTCCCCTCTTTCATCTCTACACTGGACGACCCACCACCGCTCCCCCACCCGGACTAAATTCCACCTCCAAAATCCCACTCCAACCGGCACCCCAAACCCCTACCTCCTCATACCCGACGGCCCCTCCTCTTCTCCATTGCCACCGGCCACCCCTTGCTCCCTTCCATTATGACAATTTCAAACCTCATCATTTCTTGCCTAAATTGACACCAAGAATGAAAGGAAAGGAAGTAAGTTTATTTGAAATTCAAATTCAAATTTCAAATACTGTCCTACTATGCCAACTCTAAATTAGGAAATTGCATAACTCCAAGTCTATTTAAAATTCAAATTAGATTTGAGTTATTATTTTCTTTTCTAAATCTCATAAGTTGATTTGGAAGTTTCAAAATCTCTCCCCAAATCCCTCCCTCTCCCTCTTAATGCCGCCGACCCCTTTAATGGGCTCCTCCCTTGAATTTCCTTTTTAATCCCTACATCCCATTTGAATTTGAAATCAAATTTTCAAATTCAAATCCCTCCAAAACAGCTTAAATCTGAAATTAATATCAGATTTATTCTCTTTTACTTCATCCAAATCCTAAACCTAATTTATCCCACAAGCCTCTATCTCCTCTCTCTTTGGCCGCCCACTTCCTCTCCCCACATCTCTCTTGGAAGCTTCAAACCTGCATGAATCCTAAAGCAAAGAAGACAAGACGCTTCCTCTCCTTCCTCTTCCGTTAGTGTTTAGCTGATTTAGAAATCATCCACGGATTCGATTGCAATTCCCAAGGGCAACTCATGGGACATCCACCCGTACCTCCATCTTCGGCTACTCTCCCGTGAATCAAGATCGTCGGCGTCATCGTCCTCTTAGTGGCATCGCTTGGTTTGTTAAAGATCTATCTCCGTTGAATAATTCCCATAGAGCGTGAGTGAGAGAAAAGGGAACTCAAGGTGAAAGCTCTTGATATTAACCCGTGGATTATTATTACGAGTGCATTTGACTTTATTGAAATTTACCGATTTTGTTTTAAATTGATTTGTCCTTCTAAATTGCAACTGCTTACTAGAACAAGACTTCATGGATAGTTCTTTACATTACTTCTTGCAATTCATTAACTGTAAAGAAGCGAGCTAACAATAGTTTTATTATTTCCTCATAATTCCTGGTGATTTCACATCACCAGGGAACTCTAGATCTTAGAAAATCAAAACCTAAACCATATCCCCAACCTTTTTTGAATGAACAAACGTTCACTATACTCATATGGGTTAAAGAACATATAATCTTATTATGCTCTTATAGTTTCAGTCACCCTTCAATTTGTTATCTTCTTTATTTTACGTAGTTCATATGTTTCGCTTCAGCCATCTTCAATGTATATCTATTGGGTATAATTTGTTTCTGCTGCAAATCAATATTTTTGGTTGTGTTTCTATATTATGATTCACTTATCTTTCCTATCATTCACCCTTATTGCAGACATCTTCGGCATTCTTCCATATCTACAAGGTCCAATTTTCTGGGAAGAGATTACTAATTGGGGGCAAACAACCCAGCGGTTTGTTTCTTGCTAACATATCTCTAGTCATAACCGAGAAGGCCCCATTTTCAGAGAAAAACTGGACCACGTATGGAACTCGTACTGCTTGTACATCTCCAACCCTCTTTTGGTTTTTCAGAGGTTTTTCATTTACTATTTTTTTCCTTGTTTTCCAGGAGCAATTTTGTCTGTGATAACAAAAGCATTCTCATTGGACTTTCTAATGGACATTTACAACTTGTCACTTGGAATGCAGAGGTTACTATCGGACTTGCTTTTCATCCTGTGTAAATATGATTACATCCTTGGAGATCTTGTTACCTTCTGTTAAGTATTACAAATATGGATTTCTTTTTCTAACTTTTAAAGTTTCATGACAAATTGAATTCTTTTTTTTCAGTTCTCTAGTTACTTTGAAGTTTGCAGCCATGCTTGCAGTCCCAACACTTTAGATGCAACATTTCATTCATTAGCAAACATATCCTCTGGTAGGAATAGAAATGCTTGTATTCCATTGTCGGTTCCCAATTCTACTGGAAATTCCGCGATTATGCAGCTCGAACTATCATTGCCACTGAGGCTGCTAGTTGTTTTGAATTCACATGGCCAGGTTACTGTATGTTCAGTAAGCAAAAAGGGTTTAAAGCAAACTGATTCTATTAAAGCTGAATGGTGGTTAAACACTGATGATGTCATGTGTGCTTCTATTGCTTCAGAGCAACAAATTCTTGCTGTTGGTTGTAGTAGGGGTGTAGTGGAGCTATATGATCTGGCAGATAGCATATCTTTTCTTCGCACCGTGTCTTTGTATGACTGGGGGTAAGGCTAAACAAATTCTAGTTTACTGGATGATTTGTATGATTTTTTTTAATGTGAGTAATTTACCGCTTCTTATTTTAGTAGTTATGAGCCTCCGGATTACACAAACAGCCACATATGTTCATATCTCTGATGACAACTCATTCTTTGTTAATCCAGATCATGGTTTTTTTCTTCTTCTGATGTAGCTCCATACGTTAAAATGGTTAAATGCTTTCTATAAATATATGTAGAGAGTACTTCAATTTTTCTGAAATAGTTGAAGTTAAAGAACGAGTGGCTTGTACTTCTTTTTCAACTTTATGCCGGTGGGTGATTTCTAATGTTCTGCCGTTGGGCATTCGTTTACAGTATATTTTATTGTTTCTCTGATGTGGATATGTTACACATGAGTTATGCTCAATAGTTTACTCATAGTTTTGTTTTTTTTGTTTTTTGGATATTTCGCCTATGCTATATCTCCACCCCGAGGCAGTTTAGGAGGGCTGGAAGTTGGATGAATTGGTTTATTTTGTGGCAACTATGTGCATGGCTGGTTTGCGAACTACTAAGATAGGATATGGATAATAGAAGAGTGAATATTGACTATATCCTTGATGGCAAAAACTGATATCTTCAACTTACTATGGTGATAATTGCGCACAGGTTCTTGGTGGTGGTTAGTACAGCTGGCATCGCATCTTGTGTCTGTAATCTTGGGGATCTTTTAAACATGTTATTGTTGGATTTTGTGATTTTTTTATTTCATTTGTCAGGTTTGCAAGGATGGAAAATTTAGTTTCAGAAAACAGTAGCCTGATGTGAGACTTTGAAGCCTGCTTTTAAGTTTACTGGACTATTGCATAGAGAATTTGAAATCTTTGTTCACAAATTCTTTTGTACTATAAATATTAACATTAAAGTAAACATATTGAGAATATGGATTATCAATATCTTGTTAATAGGATGATTATTAGAAGCTAATATCTCTAGTGGATTTAAATCAATGATCTTGTATGCAGATGCAAAGCTGATCAATTCTATTAGGCTAGTGTCCATGAGAAATGGAACAAATCCAAATCTCATTCTTTAAAGAAATGGTAATATCTATTTCAATTAGGACCCTAACTGCTGATTGTGAAACACCTTAATTAAAAGAAGCTAAATTTTTAAACATCGAGGCGCCTTTTGGTGTAATGATTGAAATTTCTTTATGAAACTCCACAGTTAAGCGTGCTCATCCCAGAACAATTATGGAATGAGTTATCTATTGGGAAGTTAAACCAACAGGAGAAAACTGTTAGGCTTATAGGCCAAAGCAGACAATATCTCGATAGTTAAGAGTTTGAACTATTACAAATGGTATCAAAGCAATACACCAGCTGAAAGACGGGGACTAAGCGCCATACAAGATAAAGTGCTAGGCAACGGGAGCCATCTCTTGAACCGTATATGAGACAAAGTGCTGTATGATGGGAGCCACCACTTGAATAAAGAAAAAAAAAAAAGAGAGCCATCACTTGAACTTGAAAGGGTCGCCTCTAGAATCTTATTTGCCTGGTGAATGATTCTGGAATAAAGACGCTGACGAGGATGTCAGTGACTTAAGTTGGGGAGATTGTAAAACCCCTTAAGTAAAATAAGCTAAACTCTGAAGCATCGAGACACCTTTTGGTGTAATGATTGAAATTTATTTATGAAACTTCGTAGTCAAGCGTGCTCATCCCTGAGCAATTCTGGGATGGGTGATCTACTGGAAAGTTATACCAACATGACAAAATCGTGAGGGTCTTAGACCAAAACAGACAATATCTTGATAATTAAATGTTTGGGCTGTTGCACTAATAACCTACATAGGTTAGCAATAGTGACATCCATTTGAAGATGTTTACCAAAAAATGATACAACAGAAACAAAATGGATTGGTTGAAATAGCAAATTCAGAGTCGAAAAAAATAACCCAAATTAGAGTCACATAATGTTTCTTGCAACAATCAAGTGAGGTGATCACTTAAGTATTCAAATTGAAAAGCTATCCACATAGATCTAAATTAATGATCTTGTATGCCGATGTGGAATTTATCACATCTATTAGGCTACATCCAACAAAGGCTATGAATTAAAAAAATGATCTAAAATTTGTTCAAAATTTTGTGTACAAATGGATCAGAAGTAGTGAAACTTCAACCATTATGTTAGAAGGTTGGTTTTGATCAATAGAATGCTCGTCACTATCTTGTTTGTTAGGGAATTTTTGCAAGTTTGGGGGTACCTTAAAGCATCCTGTGAAGCTATGATAAAAAATTTTATAAGAGCCCATGAAAGAATGCCTTCAAATTCTACCTTCTGCTATAGCCAAGAGTAATGAAACCAATCCAAATCTCCTTTAAAGAAATATTAATATTGGTTTCAACTAGAACCCTAGTCAATGATGACTGATATAGCTTAGCAGTAGTGACATTCCTTTGAAGCGGTTTACCAAAAATTGAGATAAGAGAAAAATAATTGATTGTTTGAAGTAGTAAATTCAAAATTGAGAAAAAAAGTAACCCAATTGATGCAAGCAACACAGACTAAATAGACAAATAGGAGAACATCAGGACAAGACGTAAACCAAACTCGATTCAAATGTAGCTTGCAAACATCCAAACAAACTTAGGAGAAACAAAAGCCAAATCGAACAAAACAAAATAAAAATATAAAAATGCTATCCTCAGTATAACCGTCTAGCAGTCTCCTCACATGCAACGAAAGTAGGAAATTTAAGAAAATTGTGCTTAGGCTTGCAAACCGAGGGTCCACCACTGCTACAGAGTCCAACGTCATTTCCAAACTCATCCGGCAAATGTCTCCAAATTTCAGCCAACATACACTTCCAAAGCTCAAGAAGAAGGATACATATGGAGTGGAACTTGCGTAGAAAAGAAGAGATTAGAAGCCAAGACGAAATAGAGAAGAGAAGAAAGGGATGGAACATGCTCTCAAGCTTTTCCAAGAAGAAACCCTCAGGTTTTTGTAAAGATTTTTTTTCTCAGATTTTCAACAACCTTTTCCATGCCAAAACATCTCTATTTTATAGGCAAAAGAAGGTAGTCAAACAGCCATTCCACCTCCAACCAAAATCAATCAGGTTTGGGGAAATAAAAGGCCAAAATACACCAAATAGAAGGCTAAAAGACAGCAAAACTGTTGCAGCAAAACTGCACAGAAAACCGGGAGCCAAACCACGAAAATCCCCACCCAGCAGCCACGGGAAACCCAGCCAGCTAGGGATCCGAAGAGCCAGCACAGAAAACAGGGCGGTAATTCACTGGAAACAGCCAGGAGGAGGGAAAACGAGGAGGGCCACGGGAACAGCTACAGCCAGCAGTAACCAAGAAGACAAGGGGAAGAGAAGAGACACAAGTCCACTCCACAATAACGAGCTTGAATAATTGCATACCTTTATGAATTTATGAGTTAGGGAGTTCATTTATTCTTCCAATCATTGAGCTAAACTTCAGCTCAAACATTAATGAGCTTACTCCAAGTAGAAGCCATAAATTTAAGCTCATTACCAAGCAGCTAAGACCAACCCGAGAGCACAACCAACTTCAAACCGATAACAACAAGCAGCCTAAGGACAAAATGGACCCAAGAGCAAGCAAACCCAAGGCCTGCCATGCCTAGCACATTCCCACCATGATCATTGGAAGCCCAACCATCATAGGATAGCTTAAAAAAAGCATAAAACACAACTAATATTGTTCAAAATACAATAAAACATAAATAAACCAAAATAATTGAATGCATCACCAATTTAGCCTCACAAAAGGTTCCTTGCAACAATCAAAGTGAGGTTCATTTAAGTATTTATATTGAAAAATTATCCACATAGTACGATCTCCTTGAGAAGAGTTTTGAATAATGAACTTTTTGAGAGAATTTGATAAGAAAATTACTAGAACTAATAAGCCCAACTAAAAGTTCTTTGATTAATCCTCATATCAGATAAGAATCTTTGAACAATCTCAATACAGGGATGGCCTCAAGAAAGCTTGACAAGGGTGAAATAGAAAATGAGATGTCAACTCAAAAATCTTATCATCAGAGAAAATAACTTCATGTTTACCAAGATGAGAAGAGGGAGATTTATAATGAGTTGGTTGAGGTTCTTAATAGAAATAAATTAGGAATCGGGAAGGAAGCAGGGCCAAGATAGTGATTCTTATCCCCCCGAATAGCCTTACGAAAGAAATGGAACCCAAGTAGAAAGAGATTCCACAATATTTAATATCCCAGTTGCAGGAGTAGCCATTTGGCATCATAACATTGCAGGAACACTTAATGTGCAATCGAGACTTGTAGGAGTGTGTAATGTTTTCCTTTTCTCCTTATTGCGATACTACATGTATGATGATTCTCATATAATACAATTCAAGCCACATGTAATTCTATAAGCGATTTGAGTTATGAAGAGGAACTATAGTGTATTTTTTATCGTGAGTTTTGAAAACTTCAACGTTGATCTATTCTTTTTGTTAGAGTTATCTAGATTAACTAATCAGAATGAGAAGCAAGATGGGAGACCGAAAAAAAGATAATCGCAAAATATCCACCACTATTTCGGGAAGAATGTATGAATTTGTGGATCAAATTCTAGCAAGGAGGTAGTATGTAATGAACTTAATAAACTAAACTCTTGTACGAGCTGGATTGGCCTAACCCCTCTCATGAAGATCCTTTGCTTGCCTCCTTCCTAAACCGCATGATGACCTCTTAGTCACTATAGCCTTGATTTTTTTTTGGAAACCCTTTGCTTTTTGTCGGTTACGCTTGCAATTTGATGTAAAGTTGCTAAGACATTGCTTTCCCCCTCAATCCTTTCTTCCTTATAGACGCCAAGAATCCTTGACCCTGCCCTTCTCATTTTACCGATCAAATATCTTGACAATCCTTCCTCTTTGTTATCTCTCCTACAAGCCAACATCAAAGAACCTCCTCCTCACCTTCATTCTTCCTTGGCTGAAGGTTTTAGAGCTGCGGTCTTAAGTTCTCAACCCCAATGCCACAACTCCTCTTCTCCTTAGTTGAGGATTTGCAAGCCCTTCCCTCATCAACCTCTTTTTTCTTTCATCTACAATTCTCTAGGCACAATCATCTTTCCCTCAAGGGCAAATTGGATTAACCATTCTTAATCGTCAGAGAACTTTTTGTTAACCTTATCTTCTGATCCACTTTTATCTTAACTCGCAAAACTTAGATTATTATTATTTGCTTTATTTTTAATAAAATTTAGGATATGTTATGCATTTAGGCTTAATATAATTGGTTTTATCCCATAATAATGATCATAATTAATACGATAGACTTTGACATAAATTATGTGGACAACATCACATTTATCTTAGTTATTTAATTTTAGTGCTTATATGTGCTTGTGTGAGTGATTCAGGATTCTTAATGTATGTGATTTTTGCCTAGTGTAATTTAGTTAGATCTCAATTAAAATTGGAGTTTTGTATGGCTCGCTTTTCTGTTAATTATTTTTTGTTTCCTTGTTAAACTATTATTAAGACTCTATTGATGCATTAAAATATTATTCAACTTCTTTCACTTACTCTTACTGCTTATAATCACTTGTATAGAAATATTTTTCTTGTAAGTACAAAATGGACTTAATTGATGTTGTCTTTTAAGGTTTGTCTCAAAGTTAAGATAATACCTTCATCTCATCTCATATTGACGAATATACTACCTTTCAAACTCGGGGTATGAAACAAGTTGTCAATTTGTTGTTAATAATGAGTTAAAGAGTTGAAATATATCTCGATAAAGTCGTTTTTTTGTCATAGGTCATAAAGAGTGCTATTGATATTAAATATGGTCAAGGTATTGTCAATTTGGAGTAATTTTCTTTTGCCGCATCCCCACTTTTTTTGGTGTTTTTGTTGTGTATAAAATTTTCTCCAAATTTGTTTATTATGAATTTTTTTATCCATGACATCACCATATTATTTTTCACCTTAACATGTCCAAAATTTTGGGGTCTTTTTCATTTGGTGCATGAGCCACTTTTGTAAGATAATCTTTTTTCCTATTCACACAAACAAACATCATTACTAAATGAGATCATTGGATAAAGTTTATCTATTAAACTTGTAGCTATTAATTAGAAGAATAGAATTCTCTAATAAGGTGTTGAGTTCTCTGATAAGAGAAACCGACCATGAATGTATGCCACCTCAGAGTAGGTGCTTCTTTTGCTACTAGCCATGAGAAGGGGCAGACTGGATAGACGGGACATTTGGGAGTTGAAATGAGCAGGATAAAATTGGAGGAAAATTATGAGAAAGAGCTAAGGGAATTTGCTTGGATATCATGAAGAAATATATCGAAAATTTTGTTGATTAAATTCTTTAATGATTGTGGAGTATAAGCTTGATATAAATAGAGGAGATGATCTACGGCTTTGCCATGAACAACACAAATTCTTTTTCAAGTTGAAACAACTAGAAAAGAAAAGCAAGAAGGCATGATTTGAGTATTTGAATTCAGATCTTTATTATATTTAATAATATACAGCAGAAAGGAGCAATGTCATGGATTGGTGCTCAGCAATCCTGAAATATTCTTGGATATGTGAAGGTAGACTGACAATAAGATCCATGAATTCTCTAGTGGGCATTAGCATCAACCAACAAATGCTCTGAATCTGCTTTAGCTCTGATACCAAACGATGAAGAATAATGGTGGGATCTTGTAGATTATAATAGATCACAAATTATCTTCTAGCAGGAGAGGGATTGGCCAATGTTTGTTGGATCTTTGCATAATATTTATGACATTTGAAGTGAAATTGAATTGTGTGGCTGGCCAAGTACCCTTGAAATTTGAATGAAGATTGCTTTGATTGATCTTGATCATCAAACACTGTCCATTCTAGTAAATCAATGAAAATCCAATCCTCCATGTTATCAAATTTATTGTCATGATGTCCATTGCTAGAAATTGTATTCTTATGCTGCATCACACACCATCGGGTATTAAACGTGTTTGTTAATGATATCATGCACTTGTTTGATCAAGATTAGTCTTAAAGGGGTAGTATCATTGACTTAATTAATTTGAATAATTAATTGAACGATCAGAAAGATTTACCCATGCTTCCAGTTTTTTTGTTTTGCCTACCCTAAACTGATTTATTATGATGTAGGCGAGCCTTGGCAGCATCTTCCCAGGCTCTTACTAAGCGGACTAGTTGGCATCCACACTCATGCTTCCTAGTTATTGTGATGTGTTGCCATGCTAATCAAATGAATACATCTAATATGTTTTTGGATTGAACAAGCATATCTTAACCGAAACTAGTTTTAAAATCAACTGTTTCGTGGTTTATAGGTATTCAATGGAGGATACAGGTCCCGTTACCTGTATTAACTGGACGCCTGATAATTATGCTTTTGCCGTGGGATGGAAGTTTAGAGGACTTGCTGTGTGGTCTGTATCTGGATGTCGGTTGATGTGCACAATTCGTCAAACAGGGGTAATCTCTTCTCAGTCACCTATGGTGAAAACTAACCAGGAAGTAAGAAGTGAACCTCTTATGGGTGGAACAGCACTATTGCATTGGGATGAATATGGGTACAAGCTTTATGCTGTTGAGGAGAGTTCATCGGATAAAATTCTTGCATTTTCATTTGGTAAATATTGCCTTAACAGAGGACTTTCCGGCACAACGTACATCCGGCAAATTTTGTATGGTGAAGATCGGGTTCTTATTGTGCAATCTGATGATAATGATGAACTAAAAATATTGCATCTAAATCTTCCAGTTAAGTTTTCTCATGAAATAACTATTTATTGTTCAAATTTCTTAATGCAACTAAATTCCGTCATTTTCTGATTTAATGATCCATTCACTAGGTATCCTATATTTCTCAAAATTGGCCTGTTCTACATGTGGTTGCTAGCAAAGATGGCATGTACTTGGCAGTTGCTGGTCTTCATGGCCTCATCCTTTATGACTTGCGGCACAAAAGATGGCGTTTCTTTGGAGACGTTACCCAGGAGCAAAAAATTGAGTGTAAAGGTCTCCTGTGGATGGGGAAAATTATTATATTATGCAACTTCATTGATTCATCCAACACGTGAGAGTCCTCTTTCTTGCATGCATTCTAATCTATCTATAAAACACTGAAGCTTTGGTGAAAAGCTTCTCTAGCATTATTTGATGAATCTAAGAACATATGCTATTTTCTGTTTTTCTCCTTGATGTTCTGTAGGAAAATTCCAAACATTAGGTTTGGTTTCCTAAGATCACGTGAAGACAACTCTTTCTTGCATTCTGTTCTACCTGTCATTTCTCAAAATGTATAGATCATTGGCGCAATGAGATTAATTTTGGAATGGTTAATCCAGTTAGAAATTTTTTCTTGGGGCACGTTTAGTGTAACTAATATCTTATATACTTTTTTTTTCAAATACCAATGCGTTTTTAGTTTGTGCTACATTTTTTCGGTATAACGGAAAATTTTGAATCAGCTTTTTATAGATGGATGCAGTAAACATTTTGCTACATATCTCACCAGATGAATCATTTTTAATGATAGCCGATTTAAGTTTCTGAGAATTGTTCTTAACACCTGGTTTGTCTTCTTATTGTTACGTTGTACTTTCTTTTAATCTGCTTCAATCTGTGGGCTTGTTCATTGATGCTGTTTCACCAGGGTTGATCTGGATGAAATTGGAATCTAAAACATTGAGAACACAGATCTTAAATAGTTAAATGTTTTTGAAATGCTATGTAAAAGGTTGAAATAATACATAATGGCCTATTATGTAAAATGTAATGTTTCTTCATGATGCTATGCCCGGTATAGATTAAACTTAAACCACTTGCAGGCCGAATTTGATTCAAAGACTGAAGAAGATCATTGTAAAATGGTATCAGTTTTTGTCTTTGGTAAAAGTTAAGAATTGCTGGGCCATGCGTGGGGCTGGTTGGTGATACTGGGGGAGGTCGGGTGGCTGTATGTTTGTGTTTTGAAAAACTAGAAGTTTTTGTGTTTTAAAAATTAACTTGTTTTTTTTTTTGAAAAAAAAAGAAAACAAAATTCTGACCAATGATATTTTGTCCCAAATTTTTTAAACAAAAACGACAAAAAAAGAAATATTGATGACAGGTAGACCCTTTTAGCTTCATTATAGGTGAAGTGTAAGATATTCACATAATCTTTTTTTTATATCGATTATTTAACCAAAAATTTCTTTTTGGGTCACAACATCAGTTCCACAATCAAAGTTTTTCACTACAAAGTGGTGCATCATGTCTCAAGGTCTATCATTCATCTGATGTGTCGGACATGTTGAAGATGTGTTCGATTAAAAAATATTAAAAATAAATTGGACACTCATATCCGACTCTCGCGTCTTAAATATTTTATGGTTTTTTAAAATATAATATCTTGTGCTTCAAAATTTTATTCATTAAAAAAATAAATTAAATTTCTTATTTTTTCTTCCAACCCCAAATCAATCTCTTGAGCTCGATACCCCATTATGCTAACATTTCTATTTTTGTTCCTATCTGGCAGATCATAACTAGGGTTTCACAATAATGTCTGATGCTAATTAACATTTACGTTTGACGCCGTCACAACATCAACGTTTCCAAATCATCTCAATATCGAAGTCCAATGCCGTACTGTCATTGACGCTCAATGCTCGATGCCAATATTTTCTACAATCACAATCATGCCCCACACTATCTCGACATGTCATCTTTGTTCAATATTATCTCAACATCAATGACTGACTCCATCTCAACATCAAACCCGATGTCCTTGCACAACATTAGTACTTGACTTTTTGGCAGCATTGTCGTCTTCCTTCTTGATGCCTGACACACAATAGTGATGGTTGATTCTTGATATTCTAATATTAATTATTTTAAGTATAAATCCTAATAAATGACTTTGTTTTTAAATTATTTTTATTATTCTACTTATTCAATTTTTATACACAAAATGAGGTGTTGATTGTTAGTTCATAATAGCATTGAGTGTTTGAGGGGTGATACAACTATACTTTCTTGCTCAATTATGGGAAAAACCGGATTAAAATAAAATTTTGTGCTACTAAATTTTCTGTATAGCAAGGGAATGTCACATCTTCCTTTTCAATTGTTTGCGATAAAACCTCTGCCTAAAATAAAAATTTTCATTGATAACTAATATTCATACACTCTTATGCTAGATAATTGCATCAGCATTATCACCACTAAGATTTAACCCCATTATAATTTTTTTTAGTTTGCTTTGAGATTCATTTTTTTTGTCGTCATTAAGAGCTGCTTTTGCTATAGCAAATTACAGCGTCACCAGTACTAGGTTTGGTAGCAAACTTTATTCATTATTTTGCTTTTAAAAAATTTATTTTTCTTTTTTTGGTTTAATTGACACCGTTTTATATGTTATATACCTCCTCATTCTTTGAATTGTTTTGTTTTTAAACTTGCATATTGAGTGATGCTGTTTCTATTTTCACTGAAGTTCGTTTAATTCTTGTAGGTATGAACTCCTATTTTTCCCAAGATATCATCTTGACCAGAGCTCCTTACTTTGTCGGAAGCCATTACTTGGAAAACCAATTATCATGGATGCTTTCCAAGATTATATACTCATTACATATCGTCCATTTGATGTTCACATGTTCCATGTAAAGATCTCAGGAGAGTTATCTCCTACTAGCACACCATATTTGCAGGTAATTGGGAAAATGCACTGTTGGTCTTTTCTTTAATTGCAGCAGAGCAGTTATTTTCACAGAGGTGCTAGTTTAGAAATGAAAGTTGATCATCATAAACCATATCTTTGTAAGTAATCGAATGACAAACAGCTTTCCACAGTGCGGGAACTTTCAATTATGACTGCAAAGAGCCATCCAGCATCCATGCGATTCATACCCGATCTTACAATTGGAGGAAAGTTGAAGGACAGTTTGTCATCTTCAAATATCTTAGGCCATCAGCCTTCACGGTACATGCACTTTGGATTTTAGCTAGCTTACCAGCTTAAACATGATTCTTATTTGTGCTGCTTGTAATGTAAGATGCTTAATACTGAGGACTAATGGGGAGCTTTCATTACTTGATTTGGATGATGGGCATGAACAAGTACTAACAAATTCAGTTGAGCTGTTTTGGGTCACTTGCGGTCATTCAGAAGAGAAAGAAAATCTAATTGAGGAAGTCTCTTGGCTAGACTATGGTCACCGAGGTATGCAGGTAAAATTTTATTTGCCTACTTTAATTGTGTTTTCATCTTTCATTTCCTTAAGGCATGTGTACTTGTATGATTTCTCCTTCATTGAACCTTTGAGAATAAAAACTATAGTGGTTACCATGGAATTGAATGTTTGTATTGAAGTTGATCATTGCAGGTTTGGTATCCATCTCCTGGAGCTGATCCATTTAAACAGGAGGATTTTTTTCAGGTATTTTGAAACTTACTTGATTTTATAATTTTTAGATATGGAGATTATCATTCCACCACGTGATAATTGCTATTTTATTGTAACCTGTTTGATGGTATTAAATGTGTATTGTTGGTTCTTCTTGCTAGAATATTTCTGCCCAAAAGTTCCTTTATTGTGTCACCTCCTAAGCTTTTGCCATTTTTTAACCTGAAATTGTTTGTGCGTGTACGCTTAACATCTGTGTAATTTTGTTCCTTTTTTTTGTTAAACAAAATCTGAAACTTTCTTCTAATGACAATGTGCAGTTTTGTTTGTTTCCATGTGCCATTTTGACTTAGCTATGAATGATTTTCTTGTTGTGTGAAGTTTTATTTTAAATTGAAGAAAAGCTAAAAGTGCCATTGATGTGAAACCAGGAATTGTTTTTTTAGAAATTAATAAAATTTGTTGGAGCAATGATAAAATAAATTTAAAGCTTCTCAAAATTGAAAACTCAAGAAAGATCTAAGAAGTCAACAATGCATTAGGCAATCCATTACAACTAAATTTGCAAGTTCCTTAAAATAACAACTTAAGCAAACGTAATGAAATGATTAGCCAACTAGAATCCGACGGTTAACAAAATAATCGTCTCACCTTGAGGCTCAAAGTCACTCTTCTACTTCTAGGATTGACGGAGGAAGAAAAACCATACGAGAAACGAGATCACTCCAAGGTAGATGGCGCAGACGATCCGTAGTGGTGGCGAGGGAAGTGGCGGCGGTGAAGGTGGGGAAGCGGGTGGATGTCCGTTGAAGGTCCAGTCGTAGTCTGAAAATTGACCGTCGATGACGTGCACAAGGGTGGGGAGGATTTGATCCAAGTAATCTTCAATGGTGTCGTCGTGGTCAAACCCCTCGTCGAAGAATGGGGATCGAAGAATGTGGATGTCTCCGTAGACGTCGAAAACGAGTCCGCCTTCAAGTTCGGGATCCGCCATGCATCCTTGCTCCGGGTTGAAGGTGAAGTTATTTAGGGGGAGAGAAGAAATCTGAAACTTAATTTTATATTTTAATTAGGGGAAAGCGGGAAGAAACGATTTCAAATTTCAGATTTTTGAAATCTGAAATAAAGTCTTAAAAAAAAAAATTGAAATCACCTCTGTGAGAGAGAGGTATTTAAGAGGTGTTTAAGTGGTGGTGATGTGACAAGTAGAGAGAGAAACAGGAGGGGTGAGGTGGCCGGCCAAAAGGGAGAGAGAGAGAGGTTCGGAAATAAGTGGGTGGGGCCCAAGGGATTAAATAAATTAAAATCAAATCTGATTCTAAATTCAGATTTAATTTAATTTAAGAAAGTTTCAGATTTAGGGGACTAATGGAGGGAAAGAGGTTTTGAAATTCAAAATTGAATTAAATCCCAATGAATGACCTCCTAAATAGAGAGAAGCTATCTTAGGAAAGTCAATTACTCCATGGAATTTGAAATTCACAGAGGATGGTGGGGGGCCGGCGGCAAAGCTGGGAATCTGAGGAGGGTCGGCAGGATGGCTGTCGGGCTGGACTGGTTTCCAGCCGGCGGTGGAGCCAAGTGGGGACGGCGGGAAGGTGGATTTCGGGCTGGCAGAAGGTCCAGCCGGTGGTAGGCTGGTAGGTGATCTCGGGTAGGGGCTGGGTGGTGAAAATCTGAGGGAGAGAATGCAGGGAATGGGCGGCGGGTCTTGGGAAAAGTCTGAGGAGGGATATGGAGGTAGGAGAATCGGGGAGGGAGGAGGTTCTTCAACTAGGAGAAGAAAAGAAACTCTTCCTCAAGAACTCACTAAGAGATCTTGGGGAATTTCACTCAAGAACTCAATAAGAGATCACAACGAAATTTTCATTTATCAAAACTAAACTCAAATACAATGACTAAGCCTATATATAGGCCTTCCGAAAATAAAAACCATAAAGACGACATTGCCCTTGGGCTATAATAAGCACTAACTACCTCATAGGGGTACAAATGAAAAACATGAAATATAAATGACAAGAATAAAATAAAACATCAAAAATAAAGACTATGAATCATTGCCGTCGCTCGACGACCCCTCCGATGGTAAGTGTGCCGAAATATCCTATGGATGTCCTCATCAACCATTGTGTTCGAAGAAGGGATGTCAGGAAAGTTGCCAGTACAATAACCTAGTCAGAGGCATGAGATAACTCGAAACTTAAACATCCGATTAGAATGATGATATTTATTTTGTGGAGAGTGTGTAACACGATATGTTCCTTTGCTTTTTTTTGGGTATGTTCTTTTGCTTAGTTTAATGCATAAATATGATAGTTATTTACCTTGTCTCTGACAAAAGTTGCGCTAGAGTAATTATTATTCTAAATGTTTAACTGTTAATGTGATTGTTTGTATGATTATTTGACTCTTTAGCGATTATTTCAATGCGCTATAACCTAGCATTCTTAAAGTGGATTTTGGGTTTGTGAGTTATTAAGCTACCTGTTTAAGTATGCTTGAGTAAATAAATGACCATTCACTATTTGCCATATTACAAGATCTGCCTAGGTATACTTGTCTAGGTTATGCAAACTCTAAATGATGTGGTCATCTGATTGTTGAAAGTTGAAACTTAACATGTGCTCTAGATGATACAAACCATGAAAGATGCACAGCTCTAGGGAAACATTTGTTGGTTTATTATTATTAGTTTATATAATCTATAAAACTTGAGAGAAGAAGTTTGTTAAAAAAATATGGAGGACAAGGGTTGATTATCTATTTATCTCTATACTTGAAATGTCTAAAATTGCTTTACCAGTAAAATATTTGATGCAGGTGCAATAAAAATTCTTTGTTGTCCTTGATTTGAATTTTTTTCACAAAACTTAGAGGCAAACAAAAAGGGGAGTAAAGAAAATTAGTGTGAAAAAGGAAGAGAGGTAAGAGATATGAACAAGACTATTTCGCATGATTTCTTCATACGAGTTCTTGACTGACATGAAGTAATGCTTCACATTTCCAAGGTTTGATGGCAAACTTCAACTGTTATTCATGAACACTAAGTAAGGTTTTTGGATAAAGTAGTGGCCCTTTTTATAAAGATGGGTTGTGAAAACATAACAAAAAAGCACTAAAATCCTGAAGATTGCCTCTGGTTACTGTTTGCTTGATAACGATAGTAGCCTAGTAACTGCCATGTTAGCTAAATTGCTAACTTGCTGACCTGAACCACTGTCTCAGTGGCGCCGCACCACACAGCTTTCTTGCTATTTTTTGATTACTATCTTAATAGCATTGTATTGAAAGAAGCTAAGCTCTTCAACATTGTCATATCCTTGGTTCTTCATCTATTATAAACTTTGAACTCTGCATAATGCCGTTTCTAGGGAAAGGAGTCTTGTTTTTAAGGAATCAGTCCATAACTATAGTAGTATATTGGTTAATTTCACAAGATTTCATTTTTATTCTATTGAGTTATAAATGGTAGAGAAACTTTTATTCAGAATGTAAACAGAAGTCTTACTTTTCTTTCTGACCTACTGTATCATTGGAATTTAGAAGACTATGCATACTCAGACTTTGAATTATTTTCCCTGACCTTTATGAGTCTTTATATTGTATTGATTGAGGTCTGTCATCATTAACTTCTACACTAGCTGTAAATGTTCACACCATCACCAAGTAAACCTTGTTAGTAAGATCTGCTTTGCTAATTTGAGGCATGAACTTGCTTGTTATTTCTTACTTTGCTGTCTATTCTTATATTATATCAATTTTAAATATTGATTCCATGCTTAATGTAAAATGCAAAAAAAATTCAAATTTTCACTTCATACTTACAAACCAGGCGAAGAAAGATATTCCTCCTGCATGTTCATTTAGCAAATGATCTTTTGTAAAACATAAGCTATTATTGGTTAGAATGGCTTTTATTCTTCCCTTGATTAATTAAAGCATATTTCTAGTTTTTTGACAAACTCAAACTATTTTAAACTTTGCTTCTTCTCACTGTAGCTGGATCCCGAGCTTGAATTTGATCGTGAAGTATATCCTCTGGGGCTTCTTCCAAATGCTGGCATCATTGTCGGTGTTTCTCAAAGAATGTCATTTACCTCAGGCAGTGAGTTTCCATGTTATGAGCCATGTCCTCAAGCTCAAACAATTCTACATTGTTTACTCCGGCATCTTCTTCAGGTACTGAATGATGATCTTTTCCAATCTTTAGTTATATTTCTTGGAAAGGTATCCTCAGCTTCTTTTGCGGATAATATCTGCATATGAGGGTACATCCAATGCTAGCAATCTGTAGTTCTTTTGTAGTTCAATTTCCTTTTCAATGTCTGTATCTCTAATTATCCTTGAATACATCATTATTATTATTCTTGAACTTTTTTTTTGGATTAACTTTACATTGACTTTATAAACTATTGTTGAATGACCATGTGACCCACGAATCAATTAATCTTTGCAAAAAATTTTGAGCATTAGGATTAATGTTTCTAACCATTTGATTCATCCTCTTATAGCTTTTAGATTGCAATCCATATGCTTCCATTTCCTTTTCAAGCCGCTGGCTCCTATTTTTAATTTTTTCCCTTTTTTTATAATTAGCTTTGATTTATTTTCATTGTAAGAGTTTTGAAAAAGTCTACATATACTTTCACACTCTGTACAAAATCAAATTAATATTTCTACTTTTCTATATGGCATTAGAGTGAGGTTAGAGTTTCATTCTTCCAACCTTTACTCTCTTTTCTTCTTTCTTGTCGTGATTCTTCATTCTTGTCATTATGTCTGGTTTCATTGACTTAGGTGTCAACCATCATGAATAGTAAAAATCATATTAAGAGAGAACTCTAGGTACTACAAGCCTAATATCGCTTGAATGGAAGAAACTATGTGCTAGTATTTTGTCCAATTTGTATGTTAGTTTCTTTTTTACTGTGTTGCCCCTTTATGTTGTTTTAGTATAAATAAAGGTGGTTTGTATTTGTTTTGTATAGTGAGAAGAAATAAAAAAATCTCTGAGCTCTCTCCCTCTATTCTCCCCTTTCTCTTCTTTCTCTTGGAGCAGCTCAGCAGCCATCTATGAAAGAGCAAGTAGATTCAACAAACATCTCTTCCTCAAAAGATTTTCTTAACAATTTATATCAGAGCTTAGTCAAAAAGATCAAGAGGAAGGAGGAATGTCTCTTGTAATAAAAAAAGGCAGTGGTCGATTCAATCGGAGCAGGATCGATCTGGTGCTGGAGTAAGGAGGCCAGATGCACGCAAGGGTACATGTGGGCTGCATGCAGAGGACCAGGTCGCACGTTGGTGTTGTGGGCACAGACAGGTTGCGTGGGATGTCACGTCACACTAGCGTGGAGACGGAAGACAAGGCTCCGCAGGCCTGGGTCGCTTGTGAGTGCCGGCGTGACTCGCGGGTACGTGAGCGGGCTGAAAGATGGCAGAAAAAGTGTTTCGAGTGTGAGTGTGTCGTGTGGGTGCATGGGTGGGACATACGTGGGCGGAAGAAGCAGGCCACACGTGTGCGTGTGTGAGTCGTGCGCAGCGAGGTCAATGGGCTACTTGCTTAGACATGCAACTTCGTGTCGATTTGAGCAGTGGGGGAAAGTTTTCTGGGCTCGGGCAAGGCATGGAAGAAGGCCTCGTTCACACGGTCATGTAGGAGAATGGGCTAGTTGTGGGAGCACGAGAGCTGGTGTAGTGGGGACGGTTAGGCCAGGCATGGGAGTGTGGGGGACGGGGCCTGGGTCGCAAGAGGCAAGCCGAATGAGAGAAGGCCGCATGAGAGAGGAGATCGTGCGGGAGTTTGAGCCAGGCGCGGGAGACAGGCTCATGGGATTGGAAGCGGGCTAGGACGTAGCAGCAGGCACTGGTACGAGCAAATAGGTGGAGGAAGAAGAGGCAACTGACAGGGAAGGGGGAAGGCTTTTCTTGGTTGTTCTTTGCGGACAACATGTGGAGGAAGAGTTGGTAACCGGAGGAGAAGCTTTTCTGTGCTTTCTTTGTGAACAACAGGCGAAGGAGAAGCAGACGACCATCTGGTGGAGGCTTTTCTTTGTTATACATAGTAAAATTGGACCAATATGGAGATTGTTAGTATTTAGTCAAATTTGTATGTTAGTTTCAATTTTACTTTTTTTACCTCTTTAGGTTGTTTCAGCATAAATATTGGTGATTTGTATTTCTTTTGTATAGCGAGAAGGAATAAAGATAATTTTTTGATCTCTCTTCCTCTCTCCCCTTCTCTTCTTTCTCTTGGAGCAGCCATCCAAGAAAGAGAAAGTAGATTCAAGAAACATCTCTTTCTCTAAAGATTTTCTTAACACTACCTTAAGTGGTATCGAATTCTGAAGACCTTTCTAACGGAAATGGACAAAATTCATCACCTTGTGGATCCTCTTTTGAAATCGAAAGACCAAAATTTGTATTTTGAGATGAAGTTGATTCCATGATCATGACATGATTGTGGAGTACTAAAATGCCAAAAAGCAGTAGGCCATATGTTTTTGTCTACCACAAAAGAAAATTGGTATGCCATCAAACAAATATACTCAAAAGTGTAGATGTTGCCTTGATCTACGAGATTAAAACTAAGATCTTAACAACCAAGCAAGGTAACCTTCCTATTATTGAATACTTTTGCATGATGAAGATTTATTCGCTTAAACTATGCTATTACTAAGATCAAGATGACATGCTGCGATGGAGCGCTAATTCTACAAAAAATTGTGGAAAGATAATGGGTGTTTGAGTTCCTTGCAGGACAATAATGACTTCGATCAAGTTTGTGTCGACATTTTAAGCAGAGAAAACCTATCGTCACTAAATGAGATTTTCTCTCATATTCAAATTGAAGAAGAAAAAGGACAATAGTGCTCGATGCTTTTGTCTTTGAAATATCTGCCATAACAATCATCAAACTCCAAGATAAGTGACTTAATATAGACTCTTCTTCTAAAGAAGGACAAATTCTTTCTTTCAAAGGCAGTTTATGGTGAAATTACTCTAAAAAATGACATTAAAAAATGCTGAAAATTGCATGGAAAGCCTCCGGGTTATGGTGGAAACAAGGTTACCAAAAACAAGCTCACGAGATTTTGCTTGAGATTCCCACTCGCTCTTGCTTTTGCTTGTTGGAGACCTGGGCTTTTGTCATAGCTTCTCTCTGAAAGTGTGCTGATATGTTTGCAGAGGACTTGCTATCACGCCCCATAATCTAATTTGGAAGAATTATTTTTTTTTCTTTTAATAACAACATCAAAGCTGTCTAAATATCATCTATCAGTCATAAACAACGAAAATAATTTCTATAATTCAAAACATCAATATATGTCTATATTCATTACTCCAAAAATTATATAAAATACTCAGGAATCATTAATCATATCATGTATTTTTAAATCCTTAAGTACAAAAGAATAACTAATAAAAGAAATTGAATTTGAAGAATCTTGATCAATCTCTCGCTCCTGCTCCCTTGCCCTGATATGAAATCATTTAACCACATATAATAAGCTAATTAGCCCAACATGTCATATTAAAACCTATAACTAAATTCAAAGCGCGACAAAGGAGTAATATGCATGTTAAGAATCAAAGCATAACAATGACATTCATATGATCATTGAATCAATGCAAAAATAGTGAAAATCATATTCAGTAGCAAAATTTAGTACGATACGAAATCCAATAAATCAATAGGTTTCAAATCTATAAAGCAATCGTTGTATCAAGACTATCAATCAGTAGAGAAATCGTATAAAGCAATAAAACCAAATCATCGGTAGAGACTGTCAAAATCATATTAATGTAGTGAAATCATATAAGGGTGTACAAATGCTATGTATCTAGTGAGTCTATCATTATCATACATGCTCGGTCAGTATTAGTTATCCATACAATATAGTAAGTTAGTAGGAGTATCCATAACAGTTTCAGCGTCCATATCAGTACTAGTAAATTTTGTAGTTGTAACAATACATTAATGCTATAATAGTAATTCTTACAGTAATAATGAATATGAACATGTATTTAAGTAGTCATATTAATTAAGTAAAAAGTCATGGCTATTATGGTGTTTTTAATATAATATCAATATTAGTAAATCATTGGCACAATAAACAGACTTATCACTCTTTAACCGTCGGTGCAATAATCATCTCCTTATAACTCTCAATCGTTGCTCTAAAATTGTTGTATCATTGTATCAGATAACATGAAACCATAGTATTTTAAGGAAAGCCTGTTGGCCAACCATCCTGTACAGGTCAATCAATCTCGAACCAATGGATCAACCAGTCTTTACCTTTCACACATTACAATAAAAACAATAGCAACCATCTATTACTAAATCACACATTCATTTTCATTCTCAAAGCTTGTATAATAATATACTTAAATATAATACTTATTGGGTCAAATGTACAGTCAAAATGCATAGTTTCAAAATATAACCTAATTACAAAGGATTGCATAAAACATCATTTCAAAACTTCAAATCGTGCTAAAGCACTATTTTTCAAAGTCTAGATTATTTTCTGTTCAATAAAAACCACACAAATTCTAAAATGCATAGTAAAAAATTTTCAGAAAATACTCAAAACATTCATAATCTCGATCTCAATAACATATAAAAAGTTACGTGATGAAAGTTTTACAAGTGCAAAGTTATACACATTTTTTGCTAACGGAAATATAATTTAACTGATAAATTCAAAAAAACCGTCGAATTTTTGAAAACAGAGATAGGCAAAATGTGACTCATCTCACTCCGAACAACTTTCTCAATTGGCCCGACAGGTAAAATTGGCTCGAAGCAGCTCAAAACAAACTTTCTCTCTCTAAAAATCTCTCATTCTCCCTCCTCTTTGGTTGGCTCGGTGCTCAAATGATCAGAGAAAATGGATTTTAAAATATTTAAAAATCCTCATAATGGCCTAGCGTTGTGGTGCTCAATCCGGGTGGTACGATGCTAAAAAATCTTTAGCAAACTAAGAGCATTGCGTCACAATGTCACTTTCTGGCACTTTGGCTGAGTGCAACGCCGTTGTGCTTTAACATGCGACATTGGGGAGCTCCAAATGTGACATTCTCACATTCGCACACAACACTTGGGACTCATTCTAAAGTACGACCAAGCATTTCAAGCAATAAAACACTTCATAACACATGCAAATATGTTTAAACCAAAAATTTCAAATATTTGTTATTTACCTTTTTTGAGTTGTTACTCTTGCTAGGTTCACGGTCATCGGACAAATATGCAGAGCTCGTCTTCAAGGCCTACTGCTACTCATATGGCAATTCATGGTTAGGTCGACGATGAGCAGTGAGTGCATTAACCCATTCCTTGATGATGAGCTAGTCGGTCCCAGTGATCACTTTGTCTTGGGGATGAGTTTCTCGCTGTGCGTTGAGCTAGTTGAGGTGTTGGAACTATTAGTGGATCTTCTCGGCACAGTTGCTGCCAAACTCAATGGTGAATATAATATGCTTCTCTTCATACCTACGTGAGAACAACTTTGTCATGTAAGCTGAGCCTATTTCAGAATATTTTCTCTGCGAAGGCATTTTAGCGTTCAGTTCTTGTAAATCATGATGAAGGTGGTTAGACTGATGAATAAATTATGTCACTGGAAGGCGAAGTTCATGGTCACCCAGAGTGTGGTCCTCTAGATGGTGCCAACTTGTCCAGTCACATTCACGAAGAAGAGGAGGGATTCCTGGTGGTTATCATGGGTGAGCTACTCATTGTCGTCCAACACGTTGCTTATTTGAGTGTCTTTAGGAGTTTTAATAAATAGTCGCCTTGCCTTTCTTGAGAAAATTTTTAAAGTTTTTTACTCGGCTTAATGGGACTGTGTTTTTCTCATGCAGAGAAAGTAGGTGGTTTTGAATTTCCCCATGACTTCACGACCTTAAAGGCCATTGCCAAGTATGTGGTGAAACCTATAGAGAAGAAATGGGTGTCGCCTGCTGAGGAACGTGCCAAGTCTATCGGATGGGAGGTGCCTCCTCCCAAAAAAGCGAAGAAAGATGCTGCGGAGGGCATCACTATAGTGAAGGCACACAAGGAGCATCAAGCTCATCCCACAAAGGGAATCACAATAGATAAGGTTGCGGCTCAGGTGAGAACCAAGCAAAGGAGTCGAGTTGCTACTGTGGTTGGAAAGGGAATGAACTTTGTCAAACGTTCTGAGTCCTATGAGGAATCAATCAGTGACTTATTGCACGAGGACGAGTTGAGCTCGTTGGAGGGCGATGAGGGAGAGGAAAGGCTCAAGCAAAAATGTCAAGGTGGTGTTTTGACCAAGACAAGTTCTTTTTTGACACTGGGTTTAGACTCACACCTAAAGAAGCTTACTCCAAAGAAGATCAGTTTTTCTGCGATGAGCTTACTTAGGCAACCATGATAGATTGTTTTTTGTCTTGCTCACCGCCAGATTCATCATGAAGGAAGGTTACGTCCGTGGTCTCGATTTACAAGAAAGGAGAAGCTAGAGGTTGCGAAGAAGGTGAGCATCTTATAGGACGAGTTTGCTAAGTATTATGGAGAAACATAAATTCGAGTTAGAATCGACGAATGCTTTGGTGATATCATTCATGAAGGTGAAGGAGTAGACAGAGGCGATGATTGTCGAGCTGAAAGAGTTCGAGTGTTTTATGTCTGGAGGAGAGTACTATGAAATCCTTGGTGGGTGCTGTTACGCCAGAATCGAGTACTATTTGAGGAAGCTCATAGCTGAAGGCAAGGTAACTTCAAGGTTCCAACACCATAAGTGATTTTTTGAAGAGTTTAGCGATAGTGAGGAAAGTGATGGTGTAAGTGCGACTAGTAAGTGAGTTGTACTCGCTCATCACTTGTAATTTTTTAGTTATGTATTTTTTTTTATAAAAAGATTGGGCGTAGTGGTCGAGTGTAAATGTAATTACAAATATAAATGAATGAATGAAAATTTTGTTTTATACTTGCTTTGTCATTTATTTCATTTTTTCTATAAATGTTGAACTCGCTTTCCTACATACTTGCTCATATGTATGCATGCACTTGTTTTTGAATGATAACTTAATAGTATGGATACTCACCCTTCGATAGGTTAGCACGAGGGCGCTCACCCATAAGCTATCTTTACAGTTATTTGTAGAGCGAGTTAATAGTATATGAGAACAAAGTAAGTGGGGGAAATAAAGACAATAAGGGCAATCACTCATGACAAGTGAGAGAAGTTAAACTATAACTTTAAGGATGGTCGCTCGATATATAATAATAATAATCACCAAGTTTTTTTGGCACGATAACTGTAGAAAATTAATATGATGCATAACTTGTATATGAGTTTTAGCCTGAGTAAGTTTAGACGAACATGATGTGTCTTGGTGAACTCGTCATTATAGGCAAGTGCAACTAGATGTATCGTCTTTGAACTTGCTTTGTACCTAGTTCATTAGAGATAACAAGCAGTAATGGTTCTTGAAATTGAGGCGACTAGATGTACTTGAACTCGCTAAGTTGTGTGCTTAAGTTCAACTGCTCAACATGATTTTTTTTGGAGATCAAGTGGCGAGGAGGCTTGCCACTTTTTGTAATTTGACTAAGTTTTCATCTCGCCATATGATGTTATAGTTGTGGTTTTTTTTTCAAATATGCAAGTTGGCTACAACTTTAAAGAGAGTGAGCTCGTCATTTATATGCGAAGTCGCCTTTAGTGGGCCTCGCATTTCACCAAACTCATGGACTTTGCGGGGGTAGTAACTACCAAGACTCGTTGACTATATGACACTCGCATGCTACACATTTGTAGATCTTGTCATAAAAGGGGGGAGTTGTGTCATAAGGCTAATCACTTAGGTACTTGTTGATTCCTAGAGTGTCGAGACATTTAAGACTTTCCATCTATAGAGGACTCGCATTCTACTAATTGTGTATCTTGTTGTAAGGGAGGAGTCGGTCGATAGTGGCTAGGTGATTTGGTCAGGGAGTTTGACGACGAGTTTGATTGTTAAGGGTACCTTTGAAGAAGCGAATGAGTGACTTTGCGTGCTTTTGTTTTATTATTATTATTTTCTAGGTATTTTCAAATTTTTTTTCTTGAAAGGGTGAACTTGCTAGGATAATTTTTTTCAGATTTAAATGTTACTTGCCGTAGTTATTCGATAGGGAATAAGGAGTGGACCTTACTTAAGCGACGAGTTTCATTCACTTGAGGGATTTAGCTCTTCTTTAGGTCTTGATTGGCTCGGGACCTTGGTTGTCCTATAAGGAGTAGTTTGACTTACTCTTTAGCTTAAGCATGTGTGAAACTCAGCTTGTTTCCACCGTAGTTGGTCACACTTGCTTATTGTAGAATCGTGTACCTAGGTTGAATTTCTTTCTTGAATTTTATCAAGTTCTCGCCAAAGTCGAGGTGTCACCTATGCATTAAGCCTCTGCGCCCTGAGTTCCCTGAGTGTTTGGGCGATTGTCCTTCATGAGCAAGTCCTTATATTTTAGGTATCAATGGAATGCAAGTTCCTCGAGTATTTTTTTGAGGATTTTCTTGAATGTTCTCGTTTTACTCATGTTGAACTCACTTATGCAAAAAGCAAAATATAAAGATGGAGAATCTTTTATTATTATTATTTTTTTGTAAAAATATAAGTAGTGGTACAAGAGGACATGGTTTCCTTTCATAGGTAAAAGATCTTAAGGTTGTCGGCATTCCATGTTCTCGACAATTCCGTTCTATTTTGCGTTTACAACTGCTAGGCACCTAGATCGATCTGTGCTTTAATGATGTTGGGGTTTCTCATGTGTTCACCAGCTTGCTGTGTATCGAGTGACGAGCAACTATATTTGCCTTTTTCAGGACAAGATCACTAGGTTGACGTGGGAGCTGTAATACTTTTCCATCATTCCCTTCACTTCTTTCTGCCTGAGTGTGGCTTCTTCTTTGAGTTCCTCCAACAGTTCAGTGACAATTTACAACCCTTCTTGGTTGTTCACTTCCCATTCATCGAGTTTGACAACTTCACTATCTTGAAAAATTGAGTATTACAGAGTGATAAGATACCAAATAAGTTTGATTTGGCTTTGTAAAAGAATAGGTAGGGAATGATGAAATACTAGTGGGAAATGTGACTCCCTGAATTAGAAATAATTATCATATTTGTATGATGGATATTAAATAGGGCTTACATATGTTCTCTCTTATACCTCACACGGACTTCTGGTACTTCGTTTGATCAAATGAAGGAGATAGATGGTATAGTTTTATGTTAGGGAATAATATAATATGTAAAGTGTAAGTAGATAAATGAATGTCCTAAACAATGGTTACCCTTATATATGATATTATAAACGTGTCCTTGTTCCTTATAACGTTATGCAGAGATCTTCTCAAAATTCTAATGAAGAATTCACCATGGTTCTTTGTGGTCCTTAATTGTTATGGCTTCTACTAGCGAAAAGAAGGAATCATAATATTTTTGTAAAATCTCTGCACAGTTTCTTACAATACATTGCTTATGGGTACTTTATGTGGTAGGAATGTAGGATACCTGGTTAGTCTCTGGTCCTATTTCATGGAAAGTGTTTAATTAAAGAATTTGATTGGACATTTCCTCAATTTCAACTTTCGCTTGTTTTTATTGAAACATTAGTTGTATACCTTACTTGAAATAGTATTTTTTTCTTAATGCTACTCTCTTGTTAGCTTTATGTGCTAATGTACATTTTCTTCTAATGATGAAACTATGTATTGAGCGTTTATGAATTGTGGTTCTTAAACTTTAAATAAATTGGTTTTCGTTGTTCTTGCATTCTAAAGTCTTTAATGTTCTTGGTTAAACTATTAAAAGTTTTTTGACCGGAATGAAATACTTCACTTGAATTAGTGAGCATATAAAATGACATGTAGAAACTTTCTATTCTCTTTTATGCTGCATGTTGTTTCCATAGTTTCTAACTTTTTGCATTTTGTTACTTTATGTTAGAGGGATAAAAGTGAAGAAGCTTTAAGGTTGGCATATTTATCAGCAGAAAAGCGTCATTTTTCCCATTGTCTGGAATGGCTTCTTTTTACTGTATTTGATGCTGAAATTTCGAGGTATGCAATTTATTTAGAAATAAACGCGTTTATATATCTCATCAATTGTTCTCAGTGGATATGGAGATGAATTACTATGTCGAGCTGGATATCACGAGTTAGTATACACAAATTTGAGCATAGTTGTGCTATGATATTTCAATCAAGTAATGACCAATTTCCATGTATGCAGTGAACATTACATGGAACAAATTGGGGATGTCCCCAAATAATGGAGAAAATGTAGAGTTTAGCAATTTTCCGGGGCAAAATAGGCATGATATATTTAACAAATTTTATTTTTCTTAGAAATTGTACTGCTATGTATTTTTTATATTCTCTTTGATGGTTAAACTTCATTTAAAGTTTTTGAAGGAATTTGAGCCCTTGACCTTTGGACAATTCATAGAGACAATCTAATTTTATGTATATCGTATTTCTATGGAATATGCTTATAGAGTATATCAAAGAGAAGATTTAGCATTTACGAAATTTAGCATTTTTAACACGAATTTGATGAAATGCACCAAGGAAAAAGTTCCATTATCATCAACAACAACAATGCCTTGACTTCATCATTTTTACATCACTTTTGTATCCTTTTTGGGTTGAGTTTGTAAGTACCTATTTAATTTGATTCATTTCTATTTTCTACTAAGTTTTACTTGAGGTATAAGACCTATTTTACATAAATATTTATAGCAAATTTTATCAAGTTACTTTAGGCCAGCCCCTTTCCAACTGCATATGTGTTGTATTGGTTGGCATGCCATTTATTGTGGCACAGCGGCAAGCTAGACTTTCCTTTAGAAATCAAATTTGATCTAACATGAGCTACCTTTGAATTCATACAACTTATTGAATTTGTTTTCTGATGGGAATAACAACATATCATTATGATTTTGTTGGATCCAGCCCCTTCTTTCCCCTTTTCTGTACTTTATGGTCAATAATTAACTCTTTGAATAAATTTCATTTCATGTAAATTTTGCTCCACTTGCTGATCACTTTGCCCACTATCTTCAAGTGCCAGTTAAACCTTTCAAGTTTAGAATTATGAGTTCATGCCCCAAGGATTTAACATAGGGTTCGTAATCTGTATTGTGTTTGTCTTATCTAAGATTTTCTTCATCATTTCGAAATTCTCCAGTCAAATTATTCCACAACTGATTTTCAAACATCGTATTTTTAGAACAGCCTATTTTAATTTATAGCAAAGCTCTTCTCCAACATCCATGAAGAGGCTAAAGGGAAGATACTTGTGCTATATTTCTTGTTAGTGTATAGGGAAAAAAAATGAAAGGATTAAATCAATTATAGGAGTTACTAACTCTTCATTCTACATATCTATAATAATAATAATAACAACATCAAGCTTTTATCCCACTACATTTGGTTGACAACATGAATCTATTTTTCTCCATTTTGTCTTGTTAAGAGTTAAATTCTCATTTAAACTTAATAAAAAATGTCGTTTCTAATACTTTCTAACCAAATATTGTTAGGTCTACCTCTACCTTTCTTCACATAGGCCAATTCTAATACATCTACTATCCTAACCAGTTCATCGGAAGTTCGACTTGTTATGTGACCAAATCATCTAAGGTGACTCTCTCTAATCTTATCTGCCATTGGAGCTACTCCAACCTTTTCACGTATATACTCGTTTTGCATTCTGTCTCTACGAGTAAAGCCACTTATCTATCTGAGAATCTTCATCTCTACAATACTTAATTTTATGCTTCTCTTTTAATGGCCAATATTCTGTGCCATAAAGCATTACAGGTCTCACCACTATCTTATAGAATTTTCCCTTAAGTTTGAGTGGTACTCTTCTATCACACAACAGGCATGATGCATTCCTTCACTTCAACCATCCAACTTGAATTCTACTAGTAATATCCCATCTATTTCACCATCACTTTGAACAATAGATCCCATATATCTAAAACACATACTCTTTTAAATGACTTCATCGCCCTAAATCACAATCCCCCTACTATTATTACTAAAATTGCACTCCATGTATTTGTTTTTAGATCTACTCGAATAAAAAACCTTTAGACTCTAAGGTTAGCCTTCATAATTCAAGTTTTCCTTCAACTCCCTCTTTAGTTTTACCAACAAGAAGAATATCATTAGCAAAAAGCATACAACGGGGTATACCACTCGCAAATGTCTAGTAAGAATGTCCATGACTAAAGCAAAAAGATATGAGCTTAAAGCTAATCCTTGATGTAATCCAACTGAATTAGGAGAATACTTAGTCAAATCACCTTGTGTTTGAACACAAGTAACAACACCTGCATACATATCCTTAATGACTTGAATATAAGCATTATTAACTTCTTTTCTAGAGCTTTCCATAGTACTTCTCTTGAAACTTTATCATATGCTTTCTTTAAATCAATAAATATAATATGAAGATCCGTCTTATTCTCTCTGTACTTCTCCATCAAACTTCTCAATAAATGTATTACTTCCATTGTAGACCTACCCGACATGAATCCAAATTGATATTGAGAAACCTTAGTATCACATTGTAAACTATGCTCGATAACTCCCTCCCATTGTTTTAATGTATGACACATTAACTTAATTCCTTCATAATTCGCACACTTTTGTGCATCACCTTTATTCTTAAAAATATGAACCAACACACTCCACTCATCTTGCATCTTCTTAGTCTTTAAAATAATATTATAAAGTTTCATAAGCGAAGAAGTTCCTATATCTCCTAAACATTTCGACACTTCTATTAGAATATTATCAGGTCCAACAACTTTTCTACCTTCATTTTCTTTAAAGTCTCTTTAACTCCAGTTTTACTAATACGATGATAAAAACAAAAATATCTATTTTTATATAGTACAAGTGCTAAGGTCACTAAATTCAATCGTATTATCACTATGTTCATTGAAAAACTTTTCAAAATATTTCATCCTCCTATGTTGAATATTTTTTTTGTAATAAAAATACCTTTTTATCTTCATTCTTAATTCATTTCACCTGTACTAAAATCTTACTTCTCTTGTCTCTTTGCTTGACTATGTTATACATACGTCTTTCACTCTTCTTAATATCTAATATATTATATCAATTATTAAAAAATAAATTCTTTGCATCACATATTACTTTCTTAGACTTCTTAGGAGCCCCTTTATTTCTTTCAAAAATTTTCGAGTTTTTACAACTAAATCAATTTTAATAACAAACTTCTTATTTTTTTTAATCTTTTTTTGCACATTTTAATTCCTCCACCAACTATTTTAACTATTAAGGGCTTTTCCTTTTGATACTCCAAGTATGTACTTTGCAACATTCTTAATATTACTTGTTATTTTTTTCACATAAAATTATCTTCGTCATAAAATATCAAAATCTTACAATCTTGAATCTTACTTAAAAAATAAAACAAAAAAATAAAATATTTTTGTTGGTATTTTTTAAATGCCCCTATCTAATCCTAGGATAACATTTTACTTTATTTTTTATATTCTGTCATTTTATCTTAAAGTTCAAAATTGATAAGCAATGCTGAGTACAAAAATTTTCTCTCGGAATAACTTTATAATCTAAATGATATATTTTTCTTATAAGAAAATAATCAAATTGAGTTTTATAATATTTATTTTTACAAATCATGAGATGTTCACCTCTTTTCTTAAATAAGGTATTAGCAATTACAAAAATATAAAACAAAACAAAATCTTATATGATCTTATCACCTTTATCAGTCGCTCCAAATCCGTAACCATTACCAATGTGATCATTTAAATCTCCATCATTCTTCATATCTAAATCACCTAAATCTAATGCAACTCTTTAAAAAATATACATAAAATATAGTGATGCAATTTAGTGTTTATAATCTAAAGGTATATTTTGTCTAGTCAAATCAAGTAAAGTATTAAAATATGAAGTTGAATCACAAGCTTTAAACAGTACGCATCTTGCTTTGGTAAAATGCAAAATTGATGCCATAGTTTTGTAGTGAGCATCAAGTCAATGGCATCGTTTACAGGATATTGAAAAAGTGAAAAAAATTCTTATGTTGTTTGTTCGCATAAAATAAGATATTAATTCAAAGCTGCATCCACACCTCTTGGAAGTTCTAAAAATTGCTGATCTGGAAGAGGAAAACTGCTGTCCACCATTCTTCTTCAGCCCTTGGAAGACCTCTAGCTGCTGTGTTGGAAGAAGAGTTGCTGTCCAAGATTTCTAAGAGTCAAAAGCTGCTGTTTAGACCCCTCGATTTGCTCTTCAAGACCCATAGAATTCAAATCTTCCTACCCGTTCTACATCAACTAAAATCTTACTTCTCGTCTCTTTGCTTGAATATGTTATACATACGTCTTTCACCCTTGTTAATATCTAATCTATTATATAAATCATTAAAAAATAAATTCTTTGCATCACATATTACTTTCTTAGACTTCTTAGGAGCCCCTTTATATCTTTAAAATTTTTTCGAGTTTTTACATCTAAATATATTTTAATAACAAACTTCTTATTTTTCTTTTAATCTTTTTTTGCACATTTTAATTCCTCCACCAACTATTTTAACTATTAAGGGATTTTCCTTTTGATACTCCAAGTATATACTTTGCAACATTCTTAATATTACTTGTTATTTTTTTCACATAACATTATCTTCGTCATAAAATATCAAAATCTTGAATCTTACTAAAAGAAATAAAATATTTTTTTTGGTATTTTTAAATGCCCCTATCTAATCATAGGATAACATTTTACTTTATTTTTTATATTCTGCCATTTTATCTTAAAGTTCAAAACTGATAAGCAATGCTGAGTACGAAAATTTTCTCTCGGAATAACTTCATAATCTAAATGATATATTTTTCTTATAAGAAAATAATCAAATTGAGTTTTATAATATTTATTTTTACAAATCATGAGATGTTCACATCTTTTCTTAAATAAGGTATTAGCAATTACAAAATCATAAAACAAAGCAAAATCTTATATGATCTTATCATCTTTATCAGTCGCTCCAAATCCATAACCATTACCAATGTGATCATTTAAATCTCCATCATTCTTCATATCTAAATCACCTAAATCTAATGCAACTCTTTCAAAAATATACATAAAATATAGTGATGCAATTTAGTGTTTATAATCTAAAGGTATATTTTGTCTAAGTCAAATCAAGTAAAGTATTAAAATATGAAGTTGAATCACATGCTTTAAACAGTACGCATCTTGCTTTGGTAAAATGCAAAATTGATGCCATAGTTTTGTAGTGAGCATCAAGTCAATGGCATCGTTTACAGGATATTGAAAAAGCGAAAAAAATTCTTATGTTGTTGGTTCGCATAAAATAAGATATTAATTCAAAGCCAGCGTGAAATCTGAATTGTTGTATGAACATTCCAATTTATGAAAACCATTTTACTGAGAAGAATTAAAAAAGGAAAAAAATTACAAACTATAGAGAAAAGCTAGAAAGAACATGTTGATGTATATATAAGTGCAAAGAAATATGAACTTCAAGGCACCACTACAGAAAGTCTAAGTAGGGAGAAAATCAAATAGATGAATCACCAAAAAAAGCAAGAGGGTAACCCTATTATCTGTAAAATTGTTGTATGTCAACATTTGAGCTTTGAATGAAATGCAAGCTCTTTCTTTGTTCAAAGGTTTTTTGAGTACTTAGATTTGCTTTTATAGTATGTGGGTTAGCTTGCTTGTTTTTACACTGCTCACAGTGAATTTGTTAAATTTCTCATGATAATCTCGTTAGAGTTTTGAGATATTGACATCATATGAAACTGACAGAAGATATTTACAGACTTGTAATCATATGAGCTAAACGTGGGCTTCCCTTTAGTTTTGTTTAGGTTGATTTCATTGTGGTCTAGAGGTTGAGTTCAAGTCAAGGTAACAGCCTTGATGCAGGATACGGCTGTGTATATTATCCCCTATCCAAACCTCACAATGGTAGGAGCTTCATCCATTTTGTTATGGCCTTTTTTTGTATATTTCTGAGCTAGGAAGATCAATATTTTGTATAATGTAGTTGTTTTCAAAAATCAATCTTCTTATTTGAATATTTGTGTAAATAAGTATAGAGTACTTCAACTACTATTTAAACTAAGATCAGAATATATCTGTCTACTTTGAACTGTATTATGTTTGTCATAATGTTAAGGAAATTTATCTACTTCCTGCCAAATCTGATCTGAAAAACTCCCAAGGTCGCATGCAGTGGTTTCTTGGAGGGAAAAGTTGTTTTGGTCTTTATAAATGAGCTTTGATTGACTTTTGGAGCTTTTTGGGATGACTTCATTTGGAACTGTACAGTGCTGTTTTGGTTAGAGTATTATCAATTGTTTTACTCCTACACAGGCAAAGTTCAAACAAGACTCATTTGTCCGCGTCTAGTAAACCTTCAAGCTGCTCACTTTTGGAGAAGACATGCGATTTGATTAAAAATTTTCCAGAATATCTAGATGTGGTTGTTAGTGTTGCTAGGAAGACTGATGGGCGTCATTGGGCTGATCTATTTACTGCCGCTGGAAGATCAACCGAGTAAGTTTTAAAAGCTACTTCAAGAAAATAGTTGTTTCTCCATTCTCTTTCATCTTTTATCCCTGCTTGTTTTTATCTTCAGTTCTGCACAGCAAATCATGACTTCAATTATCAATCTTATTAAAGGAAGTAATAGTTGTATCTCCGCTAGATAATTTTCCAATTAATTAAGCTTTCAGTTGCATGCTGTCCAGCAATTTGATTAGTTTTCTCTAGTTTCTCTTCTCATTTTTGCATGGAAATTATGAATTATCAAGTTTATATTATTACAAAAGAGTAGCTGAATCATTAGATGATAATAGAACTGGTAAGAGTCTTTTTGCATCATGTGTTTGTGGGCTCCGAAAATTTGGCCCCGGCCTCCGCCCGCGATTGTTTTTGCTTTGTTTTTGGCGAGGGAGTTTTAACGGAATAGGTTCCGGGGTAAATTTTGGGAAGGCAGATGGGTTTGTAGATAAGACACTACCCAGAGATTTTGCCCTCATTTTGCAAGGACTTTATGATCTGAGTTCTGGTTTCCTATAGGCGCAAGCCCCTATAGTTAATTACCTCTCCCAATAATGAGAGAGAACTTTCGATTAAGGCTAGTCATCGATCATATACATAGAGAATATGTGATATCTGGCTATAGCAGAAGCATAGGCATATGTATTTGAAGAGTTTGGTGATTTAGAAAATTGATATTTAAAATAAAAATTGCACCATCGTACACTTAAAGTTGATGGTGGGGGAATGGATGATAGACCCGATCAAGATCCCATGGTTCCGTCGTCCTGGATTATCATGATCCCTGGTCTACTTAGTCAGAGGAGGTAGTCGACCCAATCTGACAGAAGGATTCTTGTCGGCAGCCATGGATTGCTTCGTCCAAGGGGACCTTATAGACTGGGGGTGAATATTTGCCTAAGGGGACAAATTTGAATCCACCTTAGCTAACAGAGGGCTTTGTGCCCTATTGATTATAACTTATTGATTCATATCTCAAGGATTTGACGCCAATAAGGAGCGTATTGGCTCTGGCCATAATTGGTATTTTGTGCTGCCATTTGGCGGCAAAACCAATCGGTTCAGAGGGCCCTGGGTCATAACCATTTATCCTGCGGTGTCATTTGGCGGCAAAACCACCGGTTAGAGGATAAGTACCATGTCCTTACTGGCAGGAGATTGTTTGAGAATAGATCCTAGTGATATTTTCGACTAGGCATTAGCTCTATGTGAGCTGAAGTAAATTTTAATTTGTCCACATCGGCAAACTATTGTGGAGGGTGGATGGATTTTGCTTTATGTGTTTGATGGATTTATTTCAATTTTAAATATTTTTGGATTTGAGATTTTGGATTTTGAGCATTGTGCGTATTTGAGGTGACATTTGAAAATGATTGAAATTAACCCCTCCGGTTGAGATCTTCAATCAACACGGCCATCATCGGGGTGACTTTGAGGTTATTTATATTTGAAAATATTTTCATTTTGTTGATGAACCTTGTCAACTCTGTTGAACTGTCAACAAAAGATCGGGTTTCTCAGGCTTCATGCCTTTGTTTATGAATTTTCTTTGTTAAAGGCCTTAAAGGTCTAATACGAATGTATAAAATAAATATTTTGGTCAACTTCATGACCGCATATTTATTCGATGGTTTAAACACTGTCTACTCCTATTTACTTGCTTAGAAGGATCGGGTTCATAGGCTTCGTACCTTTATTTAGTGAATTCTCTTGATTATAGGCCTTGAAGGTCTAATGTGAATGTATTAAAATAAATACACTGGTCCCTATAACTGTGTATTTGTTTGAAGGTTTGAACCGTGTCGACTCCTATCGATCCGTATAGAAGGATCGGGTTTGAACTTGAATTCACTTATTGACCCTCGCAGCATCCCTAGACGTCATGTGTGTACCAATAACACCCTCGTCAGAGCCCATGCGGGTCAAGATTATACTTACCCCTTTGTGTACATATGTGTATACAAACTACGATACATATGCAGGGGTATTTTGAAATATTTTAGTTGTGCAGGTAACTGCCATTTGAATACACAACATTTCATTTGAGAGCTTATACACGTATTCTGTCCGCTAATACGAGTGTTGCGGATCCGGTGGCGGTGCGTTGTAGATTGTAAACGCCTTCTATCTTCTTGTATAAGTGTTGCAGATATGGTGGCGGTGTGTTGTAGATTATAGACGTCTTTCTGTCTGCTTGTATAAGTGTTGCAGATCCAGTGGCGGTATGGTCTTGATGTTATGAGGCCTCTCCTCATCTTGATGTTGACTCCCCCTTTCTCACTCACCAGGGAGGGTTTTTCTGGACTTTGAAGTTTGCTGTTTTGAAAAGAACTCCTTTTGAGATCATCAGTGTAGTAGACTTGTTACTTCCGGTGTTTGTGGATACCAGAGCTGTTTTCTTCCTAAGTATAAGACCAAGAAGAAACTTTGGAACACCAGGAAGTTTAGTTCTAATTTGATGCAACATCTCTTCCCTTCTGCCAGGGGGTGTCCCTTGTTCGTACATCGAGTTATTTTCATACCCGACGTACTCATAGATCTTAATCACCGTTGTCGTAAGTGATATCTGCACTTGTGCCCACAATGGTTCATTATGCCCACGATATACACACTGTTGTTATCCACAAGCAGCTCATGTGTATTTACAGGGGCCCGCTGTATTCACTACTACTTCCTGGAAGTGTTTGTAGAAGAGCCATTGTCCTTGCATCACATCCACCTTTCACCAATCTTAGGTGGTTTGTTGATTGTATTTGTTTGTAGGGTCGGGTCTTTCGCTATTGAATGCCGGTATTGCCATCTCAATCTACAGGCAGTGTTGCTAGTGTTGGAGGTTTCAATAGTGCATGTAAGAGGGACATCCATGCATTTCATTTTTGCAGGTACGATGCACCCGATCTCGTAGAGACTGTTGTAAGAGTCAACTATATTCTTTATTTGCATGCATTGAGGTCTTGTAGTTTTCCTTAGTCACATTTGTTTACTAAGATCAATGTATTTCATCTGACATTGAGTCACTATTGACCGCACAAATGTTCTTGTAGTTTGAGTTCCCTCGTGTGTGATTCAAGATTTGTTCCTTGTATGTGTTTGAATCCAAATTCAGTTTCATTCAGACTTTAATTCATCAAGTTTACAAGTCCCCACTTAATGTCGTATATCCCGAGTTCAAGTACGAGCTCAGAGTACATATTCAAGTTGATTGTTCATAGTTTGTTTAAGCTTGAGTTCTCTGCATTTAGTTCATTTGAACTTGACTTCCCTTGTATGTGATTTAGTCAAGTTCAAATTCTGCTCAAAGGTTTACAAGTTCAAGTCCAAGCTCAAGTACGAGTTTCCTTTGTCCACATTTTGTTCCAGTTTGAGTTCAAGTAGCAAGCTCGAGTGATCTTATTCAATTCACTTCATTTTTCAAATTGAGTTCGAGTTTGAGTTTTATGTTCGGGTCCCCTGATGTTGCAATGTTTGAGTTCCCAGTACAAGTTCAAGTGCTTGTTCAGGGTCTTTATGAAGTCCTTGCAAGTGCAATTTCATATTCGTATTGATTTGAATTTGGTTCCGGTTTGATTTTATTTCATTTGGGTTTGACCTTTAGAAATAATTTAAATTTTGTTCAAGTTTAAGTCAACAAGTCATCTGTTCTTCGTACAAGTCCTCTGCTCATTTAGTTCAAGTTATGTGCAATTTTGTTCAAGTACAGGTCCTCCGTACTGTTGCTCAAATGATGTCTTCAAATTGTTCAGGCTTTGTACATTTCAGTGAAATTTTCGGCAGCACCCCGGAAATTCTCTTGTTTGGGGGAAATGTAGGGGAGCTTGGCCTTCCCACCATGCTACTCGAGCGTGTATGGTAGGTGTACTTAGACACCGCGGGCGTACATTTTTTCATCCCACCATGCTACAAGAGCATGTATGGGGCCTTCAATAGTACCCGTACAAGAACACAAGTGGCTCTCCCCACCACGCTACAAGAGCGTGTATAGGGCTTACCCACCTCGTCATATGCGTCGCACCGGGCTCCCTCCTATCGTGCTACTAGAGCACGTATAGGTGGTTCTCCGGTCCGATACAAACATCGAGAATTAAAATAATTAATTTAAATTAATTATAATTAAAAATAATTAATTACTATTAATAGAAATTAATTATAACTAATTAAAAATAATTAGTTATCATTATTAACAACTAATTATGATTAATTATAATTACTATTAACTAATTATAATAAATTAAAATTAATTTATAATTATTTATAATTAATAAATGAATAAAAGGCAGGGTTTATACTAAATCCCTGGAGTTCGGCGGATTTGCGGGATTTGGCCGAAGGAGCGTGCGGCGAGGGAGAAAGTTACCTTCACCACCAGCGAGCTTCTGTGTTTGCTTCTGATAATAATGCCGCTATGTCCGATCCGACGGGAAAGGGAAGGCGTTGGAGGAGCGAAGTCGCAGAGCCGCGAAGGATCGGAAGAAGCCGTACGAAAGGGAGAAAGTAACTTTGCAGCGAGCGAACTCCCATTCTTTCGTCCGATCAAAATGTCGGAACTTCCAATCCGATCGAAGAGGACGTCGTCGAGGGAGGAGGCCGAAGACGCGTGCGATAGGGAGGAGGTTCCTGCGCAGTGATGAGCTCCGATCGTTGCTTCCGATCGAACTGTGGTGACTTCAGCTCGGACAGGGAAGGGAAATCGCAGAGCAAAGTCGAACGAGGGAGGGAGAGTGAGCGAGCGCTTCTGCCTCCTTTCCTCTCGTTTTAACGACACATGGGTCGTGGGAGAAATGACATCGAACGTGCGAAGCCAGTGGTCAGATGTCCGGGTCGCTAGATTTACGGGATTTGAGTGGCGACGACGTGGGATTCGACATTGAACAGGTACGAAGAGATTTCTTTTCTCATTTTTTTTGTTTTCAAATACGGGTCAACAGTGTTTCATCAATTTGATAAGTTTTAATCATTTGCAATTAAAGTGCTTCTTTTTTTATTTACATTCCTTCACACATTGAGAAAAGTCCTAAGTGGACGATTTGGGTACTTTTTTTTTTGTGAGGGTTTTCTGAATAGAGAACATGAAATGAATGATTGTGCTTGATATGGAGCTTTCATAGGAAGCTCTCGATTTGAACTATGATCTTTTCCGTAGTATGGAAAAGATGGTACAAAAGTATTGATTTTTTTTCCCATTTTTTGTTCTCTCTTTTCTTAGAAAAAGATCAAAGGGCCCCCTCAGGATCTAGTTTATGATGCTGAATCTGGAAATGCTTTAGAAGGATGTCTAAAATTTTAAATGGTTATATTTTCTTTGCAGGTTGTTTGAAGAATGTTTCCAGAGAAGATGGTATAGGACTGCCGCTTGCTATATATTGGTATAATATATGGCATTATCAGTTCTTATGATGCCTTTATAAGGAATAATGGCACTAAACTCTATTAGTTTCTTTGTCCAGAATGAGAAGTTCTTTATCCATGATTTTGATTTATGCTGCATGTATTGTCTGTACCATACTGCTTTTAAGTTCCTTTCCATCTTTCGTTAAAGTGCAGCATGGTTCAATAACTTTTGCTACAAAGTTGCAAGGTTGTGGTAAGAATCTCTCTTAAACTACTCTTGAAAATATGACCGTGTAAAATTTGTGAATATAGGTCATTGCTAAACTTGAAGGTCCTGCAGTTAGTCAGTACTGTGCTCTTCGCTTGTTACAAGTATGAATTACTCTAGAATTTAGAATAATTTTGAAATTTAGCATGGAATATTAGCAGTTAGCATGATATTTGCACTTTTCAGGCAACTCTGGATGAATCTTTGTATGAGCTTGCCGGGGAACTGGTATGTTTATGAATTTGGTAAATAAATCCTCATAAAAATTAGGTTGTTTTCTGGGGCATAAACTGATTTATTTTCAATTTTTTAGGTTCAATTCCTGCTAAGATCTGGCAGAGAGTATGAAAGTTCCACTTCTGATGCCGATAAATCTCCTAGATTTTTAGGTTACTTCCTATTTGGTTCTTCTTCGAGGAGACAATCTAATGACTGGAAGAGGTATGTGCAAAAAAATAAATAAATAAAAGAAAAAACCGACAAAGGCACCCCTATACAACTGATCCGATAAGCAATTTTTGAATAGCACATCATTCAAGGAGCCCAGCGCACATGTTGCTTCCGTCAGGAACATTTTAGAGCACCATGCGAGCTTTTTGATGTCTGGGAAAGAACTTTCTAAACTTGTAGCATTTGTTAAAGGGACTCAGTTTGATCTTGTGGTAAGACTAAATTTTCATTGTTGCGATCATTCTGGACGTATCACCTAAGGATTTGAAATTGTATCCATTTTCATGCAGGATTTTCTTCAGAGGGAAAGACTTGGATGTGCTCACCTGGACAGTTTTGCTTCTGGGCTTGAATTAATTGGCCAAAAGGTTTGATCTTATTAGATTTATGGTATCCTGTTACGATGATCACATGTTGTGATCACGCTTGTTGAAAGAAAGTTGTCATTGCAATTTATTGAACACTAACATGGATAGCTACGATGAATCACCACACACTTGACTAACCATTATTGAAAACATTTTAGTTCCTTGCAGTAAACTTGTGGGCTTAGCTTAATATTATAAATATAATAATTTAACCAAATTAGTGGCAATCAATGTCTCTAGGTGTGTAACAAGTATTGAGTTTCATAGTGCTTATTCTAGAAAACGTGGGATTTGTTTTCTCCAAATTTTAATCAATGTAAACTAAAAACTTCAACCGAAATCACTCTCTTCTCATCTGTGCCTTTATGTAAATCAGGATTTGCTTCAAACTTTTAATCTATGTTGGTTAGAATCTTTTCCTTTTTGGAATATACTAATGTATCTTCACTAGAATTGCAGACTGCAATGAAATAATTGTGCTTTTTTGGGAGAGCATTATTTGTATTCTTTCTTCGTATGGATACAGATTTTTATTCTCATGTCCTTGTTTTATGAATACTTCAACACTTGAAATCCGGCAATTGATATCATGTCAAAAAAACTTTCCTAAAATTTTTGGTGGTCGAGTAAGTGTTCTTATTACATTTTTTGTAAGCTTAACAGTTATTTTTCCTTTTCTCAACAATAAATTTACTGACCACATTGAATAATAAAATTAGTAAAAATAGTTGGTGGTGAAATCAAAATGTGCAAGAAAATATAAAGAATAAGAATATTTGTTATAAAAATTAATTTAGATGTAAAAATTCTGATAATCGGGAAAGATATTAGGAGTCCCGTAAGAAGTCTAATAAAGCAATTTGCGATGCAAAAATTTTAGTAAAGTTTTTAATGATTTATATAATATTTTTTATACTAAGGAGGACGAAATATATATGTATAAGTTAGCCAAACAAAGAGATAGAAGTAGTAAGATTTAGTTCAAGAGAAGTGCATTAAGGATGTAAATCAAAAAGTGCTTCTATTAGAATTTAATATTCAACAAAGGTGGATGAGATATTTTGCTAAACTTTTCAATGAAGATTGTGAAAATGCCAATGACTTTAGTGACCTTAGCACCCTAAATGAAAATAAAGATTTTTATTTATTGGAAAGATGTCAATAGAGGTGCGAAAATGCTTAAGAAATGAAGGAATTTCTTAGCTTACTAAACTTTTTAATATTATTTTGAAGACTAAAAAGATGTCATATGAGTGGAGAATGAGTGTGTCGATTCCTATTTTTAAGAATAAAGGTGATGCATAAGATTGTGTGAATTATATAGGAATTAAGTTAATGTGTCATTCTTTAAAACTATGGGAGAGAATTATGGACCATAGGTTGCGGTGTGATACTAATGTTTCTCAAAATCAATTTGGATTCATGCCAGATAGGTTTACTATGGAAGCTATACATTTATTGAGAGGTTTGATGGAGAAGTATAAAGAGAATAAGGAGGATCTTCATATGACATTTATTAATTTAGAGAAAGCATATGATAAAGTTCCAAGAAAAGTGCTTTGGAGAGTTCTAGAAAAGAAAAGGGTTAATAATGCTTATATTCAAGTTATTAAGAATATGTATGCAAAAGCTGTTACTTGTGTTCAAACATAAGGTGGTTTGACCAAGTATTTCCCTATATCAGTTGGATTACATCAAGGATCAGCCTTAAGCCCTTATCTATTTGCTTTAGTCATGGATGTTCTCACTAGACATTTGCAAGTGGTTGTACCTTGGTGTATGTTTTTTGCTGATGATATTCTTCTTGTTGATAAGATTAAAGAGGGAGTTGAAGGTATGATATGAAATGAGCATATACGTGAAAAGGTTGGTGTAGCTCTAGTGGAAGATAAGATTAGAGAGAATCATCTTAGTTGGTTTGGCCACATAGAACGACGACCTTCTGTTGACCGGTTAGGAAAGTAGATGTATTGGATTTGACTTATGTTAAGAAAGGTAGAGGCATATCTAAAAAGACTTGGTTAGAAAAATATTAGAAATGACCTTTCTTTATTAGATTTAAATGAGAATTTGACTATTAACATGACACAATAGATAAAAAAGATTCATGTAGCTGACTCCACGTAGTGGGATAAAGGCTTGATGTTGTTGTTTTATGAATAATAAAACTACACGTCTATTACTTCTTGCTTGCTTTTTCTTTATGAATGTTGTTTTTTGATATTTTGTAGGTATATTCCTTCAAAATATACTTAAATGTTTCTTCTTTACATAAAAGTTTGGAACTTATACCTACATGTAATATGCTCCCACTGCAGTCAAACACCAGGTCTTATGAATACCTTAATACTGCGGAGTCTGCAAGAAAGTACCTAGGAATATAAATATTTGATTTCAGATCAGCTTACCTTTTTTCTTTCTTTGTTTTATAGCTGCAAATGGGAACACTCCAGAGTCGTTTAGATGCTGAGTTCCTTCTTGCACATATGTGCTCTGTGAAATTTAAGGAGTGGATCGTAATCCTCGCGACTCTCCTAAGGCGTATGGAGGTAAAAGTGGTGAATTGTATGCATGCTAGCTTTGAGTTTTCTTTAATGTGTTTTGGTTAGTTTGCCATTTTGTTAAGATTCAATAGAGCCTTGTTTGAATGAAACTACTAAAACTGAGAATATATATATCTTTTATTAACCTTCTAAAATACTTAAATAATTTCTTTATATTACATAGTGCACTACTTTCTGAAGAATTTAGAGAGCTGCACGGGAAAATTTCTTAACTTGAATTCTATGTTTTCATGATTATCCATTGAGTTCGTGTTATCAGAACCAGGTTACAACTATATTTTATTTACTTCCTATATCATATCCCAACCGATAATCTCCTTTTCCTTTTCCTCTCCATTTCCATCAAAAGACAGCTGCGCAAGCTGATGATGAGTGTGCGCCTAATGCTTCCTTGAAGTTGAACCTACACAGGTTATGTGCTTTACAAGGCATATATAGGTTTTAGAAGATTTAGTAGATCATTCTGCAATAGACATAGCTAGGCAGAGTAGACCAAGTAAATTTGTGGGAACTGAATATATATTATTTTCAATTAATTCTCTAATATAAGGGTTCTACATGAAGCAGTCGCATCCATTATCAGGCAGTAACATGTATTTCAAGTGATCGAAAAGTGCTTGAACCAGTCATATGTTTGACCTACTTTTTAAAAAATACCTTGGAAGACAATTGCCAAGATTTGATGATATCTATATAATTCTGACTTCAAAATTGGTGTGATTGATTGGATATTTTTCTTTTTTTAGTGATTTATATTTAGGAATTTATTTAGTGATTTGTATTTAGGGATTTATTCAGTGATTTGTAAATAAAAGGAAATATTTAGATGTTTTTTCTTTATTTATTATACTTAGAATAATCCCTTACCTTTTCCTTTTTTTATTTTTATTTTCTTGTAATTCATAGGGTTTTCCTATTACTATAAATATGAAGGTTAGGATGGCTTGTTATGCGATTTAATGCAATGCTGAAACCCTTTCACTAGCTACTTGCATAAGCACACACTCTAACGCAGGCGCTATCCTTTTCTCTTATTGTGTTCCTCTTCTCTTTGTCTCTTTGGTATCTCTTTAGTACATGTTCCTTCTCTCTCACCCTACGCTTTTCTTTTCTGCATCGATTGATTGGGTTCTTACCCACATCTTATGGCTACCAATTCGTTCTTGAGTTGAGTCTAGCCTGCAACCTTTCATGCCTTTGACGCTCTTTGCCTACGACATCCCATAATAGCATTTGCACCCTTCGCCACACACGCTTGCTTGCTTGCTTGCAAAAACATCTATGTGCATTTATTTATGCTTCCTTGCTCCTTTATTTCCTACAGCTCACTCCTTTGATTGCATGCGTCTTTGAGTTATGAACCTGTATTCGGTCATAGTGAATAATTTTGAGTCATTAGTGAATTTCTTCGCAAACTAATATACGCCACATATGTAAGCCTCGAATTCAAGATCTCTTGGTTGGAGCCTAAGCTCCCATTTAATAGGCTTAGGTGGGCTGTATACAACCATGTCTGTTACAACATACCTGTGGATATGGGGCAGTTTACCATCAACTATATAGCCTTGTTCATGTCTTTTCTAGTTGTCTGGGCTTTTGGAGCAGTTGGTTATGCTAATTGGTCCTATGTTAATTTGATATCCCAGCACATTCGTGGGTTCAAATCATTATTGATGCAATTGGGGGGCATGCTAGTCTTTTGCAATTACACGATTGAAGATTGAGTTATAGATTTTCATTCACTAATGGTGGACAGCTGAGTCATTAATGCACATTCGTGGCTTTGAAGTGGTTGGATCATTGATAATAAGGCCTTAGTTTTGTCTTCTCCATTAATGGTGGCTTTTGGAGCACTTGCTTGCACTAAGTGGTCCATGTCAAAGATTTTTTTTTCCAAGGCAAATTTTTCTCCTCGGGTTTGTTGTTGTAAATTTGAAGTACTACCCCTTGCACCCAAAGTGTCCTGGTTTTAATAGGAATAATATGGAACAAGAAAATTGCATGAACTATCAGACTACCTCCAAAACCTTCAGCTGTAGAGTACAGCCAGTTACATTGTTAGGCTTTGGAGGAATCCAAAGCCAGCTTCTGTGACACTAAATTGTAAAGCAAAGGAATATACAGACTGAACTCAGTTTCACTGTTACAATTTTGCTCCTATGTGATGACTTAAAAGAAGGAATCTATTACAACCCAATCCTGAGAAAAAAACTATTAAAAATAGGCACAAATCTATGTCGATAACAATTACACGCGCACACGACTAAATCTCTATAAAGCCAATTACATCACTGGACCTCTTTTACCACATAACAAAAATCCGCAATAAGAGATCATCTTGGACCCTTTTCTACGCTTACACCATATGAGCACACCTTCAGAATCTGGCTGGAATTGTCTTGATTGGCTGGGAATACATTCCAGCCACCTGCAGTGGACAAGATTGTGCAAAATGGTAGAGTCTATTTCAACTAAGGCTCTCTGAAACGAATTAAACAATCAAAGAACAGAGGAGCTGATTTGGAATAGGTTTCTTCATTCCAACAAGTTGATTTCTCTTTCCTTCAATTCTTTTACTTGTGAAGAAGGCCTGAGAATATAGTCGCTTTCTGCAGAAAACCAAAAGACAAGAAGATAGTTCTGTCCCAGAAAATTATGTTCATGGAGAAAAATAAGATTGAAAAATAGAAAACCCGATGTGAATATGTTCTTGATGAAGTCAAGTGCAGTTCCTTAACTGTGCTTGAGCATTTCAGTGATTGGGATATGCCAAAACTCCTGGAATCTCAGAATTTCTGCTGCCATCTGTTGCAGCCTCCTAAATGCTGGACAGATGCATGGTAGTTCCAAAACAGAGAAAGCAGAGACGCACGAAATGGAAGCTTTTCCCTGAGCTGGCGGACTGGAATGGGCTTAGTTTCATGGGGAAAAGGGTATGGCACTAGGTAAACCGATCTTGGCAAGATTTTGGACCCTTTAATGATCTCCTTTTTCACTCATCTCTCCTAAGGGAAAACCCACCCCAATGCTAGTGAAATCCTTTCCAACCCTAATAAATCTGAAAATTAACTTAAAAAAAAAACTCCACTCCTAACACAACAATGAGGTATTTATAGAAAAACAAAGTAGCACTAAGGATCCTAATTACTAAACTACTTTTAATATCATGACCCGGTCCGGAGTCTCGAATTAATGAGGTAGGAACGAACAGTCGGACGGTAAATACATTTTTCCATAATTATACATAATAGTAATGATTAATATTCTTCAAACACTGAAGAGCCACTAAGACTACTTGTACATTGAATATGCATTTAAACTTTTCATTTGAGCGTTGTCTTCTGTAGACATATTCCTCTTCTTTTTCAGTCATTTTTATTTATCAGGAGACTTACCTGAAAGTTTAGTTTAATAAGTTGAGTTTACATGATAAACTCAATAGTTAATCAAGCCTATAACATAGAAATTTCGTATACATAAAAAATGAATATGTTCCTTTGGCTTTCTTTTCCTTTTGCATTTATATATATATATATATATATATATATTATTTCTATTATATTTTATATACAATAGTTAGGTATACAAAACAAAGCATACTTATTTTGGTCTTTCTTACACATAAATTACTTTTCATTATTTTCCATTTATCCATTTCCATTTTATATTTATTCCATTTCCATTAGTACATGAGCACCGTTTAAATGTACCTATAAAAGTACAATCATTTTCATTTAACGTGCACGGGTACATTGCTTCCCCAGCTAGTACCATACGGGGGTGAATTCTTGTAATTTGCATGCATGAATCTTTTATTTTTCCAATTTATACTTTCATTTACATTTTATAAATTATTTCATATATTTCATTATTCCTTTCATATATCTTTATATGTATTTTAAATCATATATATTTAACCATATACAATTTCAAATTAATTTTCTTCTTCCTTTACATATGTTTTAAATCAATAAATACTCTTTTTCACGTATTCATATATATTTATAATATCATGCTATTTGATGTACATTTCTCTATCATATTCATTTAAATGTCAAATGTTTATCTTCGCATATGTATTTGAATTAACATTGTCTTATACATAATAACATCTAATATGAAACATTACCATTAGAATCTAAATGGAAATACAACAATAAAATTTCTTTTCAAAACTGTAAATACCCATATTGAATGTTTTGGCTTCAACTCCTTCCAAATCTTCTACTTTTGAGATAGCCTTCCTTAATGCAACATAAAATTACACATACAATCACATAACTATTACCATCTTTAATTTTCATTAGTTTCACATAACAATTTCCCAAATACAATCTTACCTCAAATCCCTTATTTTGAAGTTGAGATTCACCGCTAGTTTTCTTCTCCCTATTAGACGACCACTTATTATTTTATTAATTAAAGAAATTCAAAATAATAAATTTGAATGTAAATAATGATTAGATTACTTACCCTTTTCTCTATTGCCAAAAAGTGAAAAAACTTCAAATTCTAAATTTTCTTTTTCTCTTATTCATACTGTTTTTATGAAAATTAGCCTACAGTTGATTTCACATCAATAGACGGTAAAATTCTAAAATTTAAACATAAATAAATCTTAAATTAAAGTTAATTACATTCAAATACCTTGTTGTTAAAGCTAAATCTGACATATCCTTATCTCATTGTGCTGGTCATTTATGATTTTTTTTCCCAGGTACTTTTCGATCTTTTCCGACATGATCCAAGACTATGGAAAGCATACAGTACAACTCTTCAGGTACAATAAATAGTTAAATACTATTTCCAACAAATCTGGACTCATCAATCAATTACAATCTTTTTCTTTATTGACAAACCTCTATTGCATCCTTCCTCAACCATTGCAGTCCCATCCTGCATTTGATGAATATCTTGATCTTCTCGATCTGTTGGAGGAGAAGCTTTCTTCTGTCACAGATGTTGATGAGAATCAGTTATAATTTTGCTTCCAAGTATGATTGAAGACCACCACCAGTGTGCTTGCAGAAAATATATACAGGCTGCTCTTATGGGCTGTTCATGGCTGCCTTGCTGAGACAAACTGGCCTTTAAGCGATTTCTTTCTTGGTAATTTGATAGAAGAAGATAGGCAAATGTAATTTTGTATCTGCCATTCTTCTAATGAAACTGTCAAATTCTCTATGATTTGTTGCAATCGCTTTGTATTTACAATTTTGTTGCATTTTTTGTTACAAATTGGGTATTTTGGGATCATCATTTATCTCATACAAACTATTTTTGATGGGTTTTGTGAGTCATTTTCTTAGGTATTATGAAACTCATCTTGGTTTTCCTCTTATGTATAGATTTTTTCATTGCAAAATAGATATATTTATACTTTCTTAGGTTTCGTTTGGGATAAATTTTTTAGTGCTTTCTAAAACAGCTTTTTAATACACAAATTTCTTCAACTCAAAATTTTTATACTAAAAAATCGCTATAGAAAACACCAATGAAACCGTTCCAAACAAAACCTAATTTTGTTGGCAACAATGGGTGTTGAAATAGAGAAATTATTGTGTGCGGAATCCGAATACATTTGGATTCCAATCACAGCTTGCCACGTCATCGGATGCACTCTGGGGCCCAGTGCATTCAATGATGTGGCGCATGGTGATTTTTGGATTCCGCACATAATAATTTCTCGTTTAAACACAATAAAGGTTGCTCATAACAATACTAAATAAACGTTTTAAGTTTTGTATAGGATAACATTTTAAAGCAATTTTTTAATATAAAAATTTTTTATATTAAAAAATTATTTTAGAAAGCAATAATAAGTTTATCTCAAATAAAAATAGATTTTATTTGAGATGATTTTTTTATTATTTTTTAAAGTAAATTTTTACTATACAAATTAAAGTTATTGTGCTAATATGGCTTTGAATTATTAGAATTATCTTTATTTTATGCTAAATAATAGATATTTTTTTGTTTACTATTTCTATTTTCTATAATATCCGTATATAGATAAATTCGCTCCTGACTGCGTTCAGAGACGCTCCACAGCCACTCCGGGCCAACTCCGCTCGCCGCCCCCCTTGTGGTCGCATCTCCGTTCAGTTTCTCTTGCACTGCTCCTTATCCTCTTCGACTCTTCACCGAGACTTATCCCTCTTTGCTAACGTGGAGTCTCCTCTGCGTTGCAGATCTTCTCCGCTTCTGCCATGACAAGTGTTCTTCTTCTCAATGGACCTCATCATGTTTTATCAGGTCAATGTTTTTTTTTTCTTTTTCTCTTTTGAATTCAAGAAATACGTCTTTTTGTTTATTTATTTATAGTGGTGTTGATTGAATGAGAGGTTTCAGCTTGGGATGATATAGGGTTCTAATTTAGTTGTTTGCTGTTTTATATGCTTTGGTTTGGATTTTGTCTGCCTTCTTATCAATTAATAATGTAGCGAGATTTAGCTCTAAATGATTCTGCTAGGACAAAAGATGGAATAAAAAGCTTATATTTCATGCTTGAGTGATATATTGTTTTGTAACAAAGGAACCGTTAGGTCTTCCTCTCCATTCTCTGAAGTCTTCTTGATGGAAAGAAAATGCAGGAATGGGAGATAAGATTCTGAGATAACTTGTCAGTCTGAAAAAGCTTTCCATCAAGGCTTTTATCAATACTTGGTTCTAATGGGTCTGCATGCTTCTTTGGCCCCAATGTTTTAATTAAAGGATCATATAAAATCACATAAATGGGCTTAAAATAGACTTGGAACCATTTATTAAATCTATTATGCTAAACTATTAATTACTTGGATAGTTGTAGTAGACCCTATAGCTTTGCTTTCAAGTTTTAGCAATCCTAATGAGCCTCGAACCTTTTTTGTCAGATTATTAGGCTTGAGTTTTTGTGAGGTTAATGGAATTAAGACATTTTATAGCAATCATGATATACTCAATATGTGCATTTATACCTTACCCTTATACCTTCTCATATGTTTTTAAGTCATAAAATAGGTTATTATAACTTAGGTGTGGTGGGCTTGTAATCGAGCTAAGTTGAGTTAGACTTCAGATGATTGTGACATTAATCTTATCCAAACTTACCCCATGGATCAATAAAAAAAGATTTGAATTCAAGCCATCCAACATTTTGGTTGAGCCTTCCCAAATTTTATCCTTATAAGCCAAGTTTTATATTGCTAATGTCAAAAATAAAAATGAAAGACAACTCAAAATTGTGAATATAAATGTAGCTTTTAGTGAAGAATTTGTTTAAGATCTAGACCAACCCGCCAAAATATCATATAATCAAGTATTAGGAAAATTGATTTGATGGTAATAAAAATAAAACATGTTTATCAAATATATATTGAAGCTATTAACAATCTGTTTGATTGTAAATATTAGCATTAAAATAATAATGCATGGATTATCCAGAGGATTTTCACTTTCCACTTGTATTAGGATTACATTCAGGGCCAATTGTAAGACTTCATTGCTATATCTTCTATCTTAAGTTTTCCAAAAGCAATTTTAGTTTATGTAGGAAATGTGCTTAGAAAATTCCCATTTTGTGTGTGCATGCTCTATGTCTTCATAAACATTGGTGTAACTTATGAAACAACTTGTAAATCTATGTCAGAATATGATGCTTTATTTTTATAGAACAAAACAATATCACAACATCAACATAATAGTAAATTAAGCCTAAATATATATGTTTCTATATTACTTATGAAGATGCTTATTAAAAGATATTCAAAGTAAGGTGAATTGATCTATGTTAGTTTTTTTAGGTAGGATATCTCTTCTAAGGAAAAACTTAGAAGAAACAATGAGGAAAATTAAAAAAAAAAAAAGAGACTTATGACTGGTAGAGTAAAGGCAGTGCTAATAAATTTACATGCTATTTTTTGTAGACATTTAATAACACATACCAATCAATATTATTGAAAGATTAATTGATACAAAATTTAATATTTTTAAGTATCTTAGATATATTACATAAAATAATAGCATGTGGTTAAGAACCTAACTTCTAGGTCAATGTTGAGTGGTTAAAATGGATATTTGTGTAATAAATGCTATATGGTAAGAGAATATTATTGAGAACTAATGGTAATTTTCATGAAGTTATAGTTTTATCCGCTATGCTATATGATCTGAGGGTTGGCAAACAAAGGGGTCATTAATAATAAAGTTGATGTAGTGTTAATGAAAATATTTAGAAAGATTCATCATAAAAGTACAAAGCATAGATTGTGAAATGATTATATTAGAGGGACAATGAAAGAAACAACAATGAAAAATAATCAAGTGGGTATGTACACTTAAGGAAGAAGATACATTAGTAAGATGGAGATATAGTTAATATGGAAGGATTTGAAAGAGATATAACAAATATAATCTCATAAATATTATGCAAAAATATTTGTACAAATAGGGGCGAAGCCAGGAATTTTTTTTATGTGGGGGCACAAATCTAAAAAAATCCTCAACCTTTTTCATTTGGGCTTGGGACCTACATGGGCAGTTTTAATTTTTTTTTTAAAATCTTTAGATTCATTATAAAAAGATAAAATACAAGATAAAGCAAAAAAAAAAAGCTTACAATTGAGAGCATCAAATTTTGAGCTTCTTCATATTTATCTGTAATTTCTCTCGCCGACTCTTCATTTTTTTGAAATCATTATACAATCAAGCCATTGTCAATACTATTAAATATATCTTTTTCAATAAAAAGTAAGTAAACAATTGCTCAATCTGAAGAGTAATTTCTTGATTTAAACTGCGACCTTTTGAAGCTCGATTACTTTCTAGTTGCTCAATTTTGTTTCAACACGACTTTGTTTAAATTGTTTATTGTAGTCCTAACATAAATTTTTTTGCTCATCTCCTACAAATTTTCTTTTGAAATACCTTTCCATATCTAATTTTAATAAAAACAAGATTTAAATTTTTATGCTTGTAACAAAAGAAGATTCTATGTTAGTCAAATGATAACTAACTAAAAAATTTATCTGATTATTACAGAGCAGTACAACAATCAAAATTCTTTACTTCTGAAAATATACCTGAATGCAAAAATTACGAGATTACACATTATTCTTACTTTAATAGTGACATTCCATGTTTTCCTCTAAAGAGGTAAAAATGAATCACATTCACATGACCACAATAAAGCAATCTTAAAATACAGAAATTAGTAAAACACAACAACCAAATCAAAAAATTCATAAGCCTTTCAAGCTTTAAAACAAAATAACCTGTAAGAAATACCGTAAGATTTAGAGTTTTTATGTAGTTATTTAACAGTAAAAGTCAGAAGAAGTGAAGAACAGTACCTTGAAGGCTTGATTTCTCAGATGTACCAAAGAAAAGACAAGAACTTCGTCGGTGAATACAGCCATCGACTCACCGTCCTCCGCCCCTTCGCAAGCCGGCGACCCGCCGTGAACAAGAAAGCAGAGGAGATTCCAGATGCGGAGCAAGGATATTGTTTCCAGGTCGCCGATCAATTTCCTTCGACCTTCGCTAATGACTAACCTGCTTCAGAGAATCGGAGTTCAACCTCCAATTTTTCACGTGAAAGGAGGCGAAGCGGAGTCTAATCTAGAGGCGTGAAGCTTCTTCAGTCCATCTGTGTGAAAGGAGGCGAAATGATTTTTTCAAATTTGCAATTCCCTAGTCACAAAGCAGCTGGAGGGAACAATAAAAATATGCATTTAATGTAATTAATTAGCTATAAACAAAATTTAATTAAGCTTAAATTGAAATGTCAGTGGGGACCCATGCCCCCATAGTAAATCTGCCACTTTGTACAAAATTGAATCTAATAGCTCATCTAGCACTCAACAAACATCAATTAAGCGGAATTCATGGGGCCATTCATCTAGTTGGGACATGGCTAATGTTGATGATGGTGAGAAGAGATGTAAACTTGAATTAATTTTTCAATAGTTTGATAAGGAACTAGACATATGTAATTCCTTTCCTCTTTCTCTCATTGTTTGTTGTTAATCTCTCCATCTCTTTTTATTTTGCACCATTAATTTCTCTTTTCTATTCTCTGTCTGAAATGTTTTTGTACTTTTTATTATAACTTTCCCGCATGGGCTACAAATGCTACAAAAAACTGCAATGTGTTCTTTGAATAATGCATAGATCAGAAATTTTCTTGTTAATCTTCTAGCAATTTTTTTTGTACTTCATGAGCCTCAGCATGATTTGATTTGTTTTATTTAATGAGACAGGAAAACTTCCAGCCACTGAGGTGGCTCCTGGAACTTATATGACCCAAATGATACATACTAAAAGGTTTGGAATACCCACATGTTTTTTTATTAATTGATGGTTCAACATTATTTGTGATGTATGATTTTATTTATTTTGAATCTTATATACATGATATAGTTTCTTGAAAGATGAAAAAGAAAATGCATGCTTACCAGATTCGATTGTGACTTGCACACGGAGGGTCATCCTAAGGCTACCTGTGATTTCTTCTGTTTTGTTTTTCTCTTATTCCGCCAATGGAAAGGTTAAAACTACGACTCCGTTCAATGATAAGCGCCTTCTAGAACAGAATAAGAAGATTCAAGAGGCAAATCAAGCACCAAAAGACTTCCCGAACTTCATTAGAGAAGGTTAATTTTTCTTATTGTTTATTCTTATTGTTGCTTTGATGGCTATTTACTGACGAGTGATGATGCATGTAGAAAAAGAAGTTACTACTATGTCAAATTGGTGTGCCAATGTGGTGCACTGAAACTCAAATGGCCAACAATAATCTATCCAATTTTGAGTTTGATTTTCTATTATGTTCATAATATGAATTTTACTAGAGTTGTATCATGAAGCATTAAGAAAGCGCATGTTTCCTAATAGTATATGTGAACTGAAGTTTACAATTGTCTTTTGTCTTTTAAGATAGTATGTGAAATCTTTTTTACATTAGTTTTTACATAACACTGATATTTTGTTCTATGGATTATGAATTATAATCACTGTAGCAAAAGCAACCCGAGAAACCTAGGGGGTTACTGCTTTGGCATTGTTGTCTTCTTTTGGAACTGAGAGGTTATATGGATTATCATGACAACGGATGAAGGACTAGTTTCAATAAAGCACTTGCCTGAGGCTCAGTGAAGAGGCTTTGCAACTTTTTACCTCAACTTGTTCAATTAGAGTCATCTTTAAAGTGCACATTTTCTATGTTTTATTTACTTAGAGGGAAGGGGAGGAGGAAAAAAAAAAATTCAGCAACATGAACCAACCTACCTTTAACAACACCTAGTCTCCAGTTAGTTCTTCTTTGATCACTTTTTCTAATTTTGTTCAAAGCCAAATGAAATGGGCTGAAAGCAATCATTAAGATTTATGGTGCCGATGCATAAAGCACTTTTGAATGCCTGATGCTTTGGTGTCAAATTTATGAATCTTCCTTCTCTAATTGTTCTTATTTAGTATTGTCTAAGGTGTTTATTTATTTTCTGAAAATAATTTTGCACAACTTTTATCCAAATTACCTTCAGTTTGCTCATTTTTCCATAGTTTTTTGACAATGTTTTTTGTACTTCTTTTACTAGCACATTTTCTACCCATCGTTGTAGAAGCCAAACTTTATTTTTTAGTATCTTATCTTCATCAAATGTGACTAATACTATCCCTCTTATATGGTCATTTTGCAGTACATCCTTAATTATGCACATCTATTTTAACAATCTCAGTATCATGCATAATTATTTCTATCAATCTTTTCTTTGATATCAAACTCTTAAATTCATGCAGCATAGGTTGGTTTCTTGCAATTTTATTATATTTACCTTTAAACCTCTATGATATTCCTTGATCCCATAATACTCTTTAGGAATTTCTCCTTTTTAACCACATGTTTTGATTATTGAAGTTATGTTCTCAAATATATTTCATTCTTTTTTTTTTATAATAGATTCAGGATATAATTAAGTATCATTTTATATTCTAATTATAAGGGTAACTTTATTTTACCCCCATCCCTTGATCGGAATGACTAATGAACACATAACGCTCATGTGGTTTAAAAATATTTCTTCAATGCTTATGTGCTTTTGACTAAAGTCATGGTTATTTTTTTCTTCGAAAATGTTGAAAAAAAAAAAGATGCTAATGCAAATAGACAACATGTATAATCATACCATCCACCTTGTCTTCCTCTCCAACTCTTTCAACATCCACCTTGATGTGCTCCATGCCTCTACCCACAATCCTTACTCCTTCAACAAGGAAATCATAGTTGAGTTTCTCTTCTGCTTTTTTTTTATCACAATACACCATTTGCACCTTCTCCCCTCACCCTATGATGCACCGACACTTCTCCTCAAAGAGGCGTGCAGTGTCCGACACCGTGTCCGACACGACACTCGT